AACTGTTTTAACATGTCACATGGAAATGAAACAATGAACCAGCATTATTGAAGCTGTGAGATGTCACACAGATTCACACAAGACAAGAAACCAGCCTTGAACTGCAGAGAGCTGCTGCCCTCTTGCCTGCAGAAGTGGTATAACCCCCAGCTGCACTCACGGGAGATCCCAAACCCTTTTATCGAAACAAATAACGGTAGCTCCAGTTCTTGGGACACTCAAGGCTTATTTTGACCCGGAGATATCACCAGATAAGATAATGAGCGCACACACACTAACATCATTAGCACATGAGCCAGGCTGGTACATCTGTTGGACATTTGGTGTTCTTGACAGCCAAAACTTGATAATATGACAGATAATGCATTGCACGCACCAGACTGTGTGTATGTGTGTGTCTTTGTGTGTAAGAAAGGGCTTGTGTCTGACATGGGTGTAGGATTTGGACAGACAGTCTACTGTCCCAGATGTCATCGGAGTCTGGCCTTTTGTCTGACCTCTGACTTTTCCAGATGGTGACAACAACCCCTCCTCTTGAGCAGAATTCCCTTCCAGGAACACCTGTCTATGTTTCTTTGCTGTTAAGGGTTGAGGGAGTGGCTCCTACGACTTAATTTAATTCAAGATCCATTCAACCCCTTCATGCCACATGCTAAGTGAATTTTGAGGGTATATAATTCCACATGCTTTTTTACATGCAGTGAAACGTACACATCATCATGTTTGTCTCTCTCTTTCTGATCAATATTTTCCATAATATTTGTATCCTGTTTTTTCTTGTTCTGGTTTTTGTCTAAAATAAACCCCTTACAAACAATTCCCAAATGTACTTCATGATTTACCAAATGATTTAATTGAGTTTTTGGTGTTGTCTGATTTCTGAGCCAGCAGATAAAGAAAGACCCATGAGAACCAGCGACGTCTCCTCTGCATTAATATATTCATTACTGTCATTAACCTTTTGGCTGCACAGTTCCCTTATCTAATTATCCCCCTATTACCACCGCACACATATCTACGCATATTATTCTCTGCTGCTTCTCCCACCCCTCCCTCCGCTACCCCACATGTTGTTTGACAAATGAGATGTCTCGCCTCATCAAACACATGACAATGCAACCAGATGGGAAGTGTAGACAGGAGCCCGTGCCAGCTCCAAACTCACACAGTAACACACGCACGTTCAAATCTCTGACATACGTCGTAGTTATTCCAACAGATACGCTCACGAACACAAAACGGCTCCCAGGGGAGCTTTTAGCAAAGGCTGTGTTTCTTGCATCTGATCTTTATTTCACAGTTTCCAATACATGGCGTGTCAGATGAATACAACCTTGCCTGAAGTTCTTACACACAATCAGAAAAAGGAAATAAATTCTTCAGCGGGGTGTGCACTAATACCGGCCCAATCGCTAGAATGTTTGTGAGTTTGAGTTGAAACATGAGCAAATGTATTTAATCCCACAAGAATTGTATTTGAGTCACACTGAGTCCTGCTTTACGACTGTTCATCAGGCATAGATGCATAATATTACATTTGTTTTGAGATAAATATCATGAAAGAATTCTATGATATCAGAAGGGACAATTAGCTAAACTCAAATATCATTTCAAACAAAAGTGCAGTCGTTTATGTATCTGAAAGATTCCAGTTAGGGCTCTGCTTCATAAATATGAAATTAAATGAAAAAATACTAGTTTAATCCCAAAGGGAGAATATACTGTATTTTTCTCCTCACCAATCATTAGAGGGTGTTGTATACATATTATTTACCGCACATAGGTGGTAAAGTAAGCTTTTAAATTACATGTAAAGATTACATTGATATGCCAAATGCTCAATCTTAAAAACCTTTAATAAAAACAAAAAAGTTAAACTAAACATAACACTGGTGTGGTATCACAATAAGAACAGTGTGTTTTGACATTGCACCGGGATTTATTGGACATGAACTAAGACTTTTCTGCCTTCCCATCACCTGAGGTTTGCCTAAATTATCCCCCTTGATTTACCTATCAATGCACTTCACTTTCAATTAAGTCTGACTTCCTCTTCCTCCGACAACCCCAAAATCCAGTAGGCGCCATTCCTCTACTGAAATGTCTCAAAAGTAATCAGTCAAGGGCATTTGTTCATAACATGTAAAACTAAAAAAGGTTTCACATTTGCTTTGCTTTCTTGTCTCAGTCCTCTAACTTGAAGAATTACACGTCAACATAAAATAACTTTACACCACTCATACACATACATACGCACTTTAAAAACCCTCCCTTTGCTTTGCTTCACTTTCACAGCTGTCGTGGTCTTTTCACGCCTTTTGCTTTTCGGGTGCCAACCTGGCAAAGTCTGTTAGTGATATCACATATCATGCAACATGCAACATTAAAGGCGATGGACACTTCTTTGTTGACTTCCTTTCGGCTTTTCTGTGAGTGTCAGAAATAGCTGCAGTGAACCAGGATGCTTTGCTATTGGTCAACGGGACATTCATATTGAGGAGACCTTGTAGATTATAGTCCAATTCAATAGTCCAAGAGTGTGCTGGTTGTGTGAAGCATGGCAACAGTGGATGGAAACAGCAGAAAACACATATTTTACTTTTTTCAGCTTAAAACAACTCTGAGTTAAGACTATTATGTAGAGAAATTTGGAAAGTGCTTCTATGTGTGAATTATTCATCTATCTATAGTCAGATCAGAGGCCACACTACACAACCACCTGTGCACATTTGTCCGTTGCTATTCATCCCTCCGTTGCCTGCGATAACACTTGCGAGTGATCTTGTAAATGTTATCTGACACAATTATAATTGCTGTTACTAAATGTTATGGAAGACCCATGTGGTAATCAGACATGACACCAATGTGCCAACACATTCATGGAAAGGTGTGCGTGTCTGAGAGGGCCAAAGGGAACTCCAAGCATTAATAACAATAATAATTAATAATGATAATAAGAATATTTTTCACACTACATGAAGTTTATACTGACTAAAGCAAAGTGAAATCCAGAGGCTGAATTGTAATCTCGCACGTCTTGTGTTTGCTCACTTCATTCACGTGTAAAACATTGTAGATGATTTGTTCCTGTCGCTGTTTAACCAGGTTTTTTTGCATTTGTGTTCACTGTTAAAACTGTACTGAGTTCACAGAGTTAGATGCAGGGATCCAGCTGTGGTGGGTTTGATCAGTTACAGCAGGAGAACTTTTGTTTAGTCCTGGGAGCGCTTAAACTGGGCAGCGACTGACAGCGGCCTTTCTCCTCAAAAGTCGCGTGTTTTGTTACCAGCCTGTGAGGAAGAAAAGAAGAGAAACAGAAGAATAATGTTAAAACTTGAAGAAATCTCAAGCTTCATTACCACTATGGCAACAAATGAATGCTTTCTACATCATGTTTGTACTAAAGGTCTCATGTAAGCTGTTGCTACTGGCTCCATGACTTGCATACTTGCCTTTGTCCAGTATTTGATATCAGAGACATCCACTAGAGGTCACTGTACACAGAGTGACAGAACTTCATTCCTATTAAATGATCAAATAGTCTCTTTTGCAAGGACGATTTCAACTATCTCAGTAACAGCCATGAAGCTGGTCATTTTATTAATGTCAAAGGAAAGTCCTTCAGTGCTTCCTTAATGATGTCTTTTAGCATAGAAAATACAGGACATTCGTTTATGGAAAAAAGGGAAAAAATTCTGTCCCTCAGTCCCATGCTGCCGGTGGGTGCAATAGTTGGTATTCAGGTAAATAAATAGAAGAGGGAATGTGATCTACCTGTGAGAGTTCTTTTGACTGTGGTATATCTATAAATGTCACTGCATTTCAGTTAAATTGAGTGAATATATTATTAATCTAATATATTACAGCCTTTGCAGAATGGGGATAGGCAAAACAGGGTATTGGAATAACTGTTCTCCACTTTTACTGTTAGTACTGTTACTGTTAACTGTGACAATTTTAACTAGCAGTAATTTAATGTAGGTAAAACCAAAACTAAAATAAAAAATCCTAACATCACAATTAAAAAAGAAAAACGTTTTTAAAAAGAAGTTTGTAGCTAGACAAGTCAGATCATCTTCCTGGAAAACTTTTGTCTGCGTTACGCAAACAGAAGCAGCTGCCTCCTACCTGGCCAGGTGCAGCACGGCCTCCAGGATGTTGGAGCCATCTTTGGCGCTGGTCTCACAGAACAGCGTGTTGTACGTCTGTTGTGTGCAGAGAGAAATGTATTCATTCTAAACAATCAGCTCTTGTGTGCCAAATGCCTGAATTCTGCACGAAAAAGCAACTAACTATCGCGTAGTGTACAGGGCATACAAAAGATTTGGATTTCACCATAAGTGAAAGAAGTGAAAGAAGATAGGGGTCTGTTTTTGTACTCACCATGGCCAATTTTTCTCCAAAGCTGGTAGGAACACAGTCAGCTGTGTCTTGCCTAAGATCACATTTATTACCCACAAGCATGATGGGAATGTCTTCCCGGGACACATCCTGCCAGAACATATAAGACACTCAATACTGGTCTCTCGTACGTAACAGAAATCAGACAGAAAATAAACGTTTTCATGTTCAAATGGATCATGAAGGAGCTCCTTGTGCACATCGCACAATACATCACACAAACTCGCAGTTAAAAACACAAACAGACATGCTAGAACAACTAGCTACAACAGATGAGAACACAGTGCACATCGCATGCTTTGAACCCAACACTTACATTTCTGCTGCATGAAGAGAGAGAAAAACAAGCAAAAGCACTTAGTTTGAGACAAAAACGATTGTTTGACTAGCATTTGCAGAGTGGAGGGATTTAACGTGTTCAAATTTGATCAGCTGTATTGAGCCGATGCTTGGAATAACTAGGTGTTCACATGAAAAAGAGCAAAGCAGAGCAGTGTTTTACCTCAATCATGTCCACCCATTCTCTAACATTAAGGAAGCTCTTCTCACAGGTGACATCGTACAACAGCAACACACCATCTGCACGCCGGAAATAAGACTTTGCAATGCTGCGAAACCTGTGTGGATGCAGATCATTTTTCCCTTTTTAGACTTTGAATGATGTTCATTTTTAACTGCAAATATTTCAGATATTCAGTAATTTGCCAACGCATGCCTCTCCTGTCCTGCAGTGTCCCATAGCTGTAAAAGAATAGGCTCTCCGTCCACAACAAAGGTCTTCATCTGGAAGTCAACTCCTAAAAACAGATGGAGGGGCAAGCAGGGTTTTGAAATCGAACAAGAAAGTGCTTCTTGTTTTACAAAATGACATCACAGCTTCAAGGGCAAATCCGCTTAGCTGTGACTTCATGCCGCTTAGTCCAGAACAGAATCATTGAGCTATCATCTGATGCTGCTGGTATCACAGAATGAGACAATATGAAGCTTAACAGTGTCGTTTTCTGTGCATTCATCTCACCCAGAGTGGCACTGGAGCTTGGTTTGAATTCATTTTTGCAGAGTCGAAGCAGGAAGCTGGATTTTCCCACAGCAGCATCTCCAGCCAACACGATCCTGTAGGCCTTCTCTGAGGTCATGTAACCCAGGTCAACACTGTCCTTGTCCTCTGACTGCAGAGAGGCAGAGCAAAGGCAAGAGAAAATGTGCTTAACACAAGATAATATTTACATTCTGTGCTTCTGTTGAATTTATTTTTCTGCTTCTACTAGTGTAATTTCTATCTCTCTTTATAAACAACTCCTACATCAATGTTTTACAAATTAATCTCATCTTAATCCCTTTGAGCTGCTCATATAGTTTGCAATATATTGTACAGAGGTAATATAACGAGTGACAGTGATTGTAATGCTAAGCCTGTCACGTTCTGAGAAATGTAATAAGGAAAGATACCCTTAAAGATCTATTACTTCATTTGGTTTCAAAGCTTCCAAATCCAGAAATCTTTTCTGATTAGGATTCAAACCATTCATTTAAATCACATTTAAATAAATCACTGAAATTAATATCCATCGATCCATGTTCTATACAGCTTAATCCTAAAGGTAAGCGGGGGGATGGAGCCTGACAATGGGCGGGGTACACCCTGGACAGGTCACCAGTCCATCACAGGGCTGCAATTAATATCCATAAAGTCCAAGTGGAATAAAAAACAAGTCAAGGTTTCAATAACCAACATAAATCAGTTATGGAGGGTTTTCCTGTAACCTATTATGTTAATAACTCCCGCCAACCCATTTTTTAAAAGATTTCGGCTCTTACCTGAACCTTGATGGCACTGAGGGCTTTTTTCATGGTTGTGGTGGGCGGTGATGGCTCACTAATGGAGTCAGTTGGCTTCCAGTCCAAAACCGAGCTGCTATCTGACCCAAACGCTGATTCCCCGTCCTGCGTCTCTGCTGGCTGTGATGGAGACATGCAGTCATAAACGTTAGGATACTCTGTATTCTTATAAAATCAATTAATATCGCACACACGAAGAGACTTTGTCTGCATTTGATCTTCTCGTTTCACCTCAGTGTCAGAGTTTTCACCCAGCATGCTATCATTATTGTCATCTTCTGCTTTATTAATTTCAGCCTTCTCTTCTTCTTCATCTCCTTGGCCCTTGACGTCCTGCTCAGAGTCGTAGCCTCCATGGGAGCCTCTGAGCGTCGACAGGCCGCTGTCCATGTAGGTCTCCGGGAGACTGTCCTCCTCGCACTCACTGCTGTGTCTGCGCCTCAGGCCGGGGTCACAAACGGCCAAGGCCAGAGTGTCACAGCTGGGCCGGCGGCTGTACAGAGGGAAATCATCCAAACGCTGCCCCAGCCTGAAGAAATCAAACGCGCACAAATGTCACATATATTTCGCCCAATTTTGATTACCGAAATTGCAAATTCGTTGAACTTTTCTTTTAGAAATTATCTTACTGACTGAATCCAGTTAAAATTGTATAAAGTACATCAATCGTGTATCCAAGCATTGAATGTGTAGCACAGATATAAAACTTTTACGTCAGCATAAGCCATGACATAAGCTATTCAATTTATTCTTGAATTTAAAAGATTCCAAAATACTTATTCAGATACAAAAAATGTAGAGAAACTAAATGCATGTCATCTATGTATTCTGGAGATTTTTCATGATTGTAGACGTACCTGTCAATTAAAGCATATGGCGATGTGTAGCAGATGCTTTTGCTTCTGAATCTTTCCTTGATTTCTCCTGGTGAACCACCGTTACCTGACTGTGACACACCAAAAATTGTTAATTTGTTTTCTGGTTGCTGCGGCATCTTGTTGTGCCTCCGCATATTGAAACAGAACAAACAGCTCTCATTTTGAGGATAATTCTCAATTAATATTTTTTTAATAAAAAGTGTGATTGCACTTCGACGTGTAACCATGTCTTCTAAAACATATATTGATGAGTTACAGCATCAAAAAGTCAAGTTTAAAATCCAATAAAATGGGTAAAAGTTCTGCAGAAAAATCTAATTCAAAGAGCATTCAGGGTTCAAAGGTAATATGGAGCTTTACCTTTGTGACCCTTTCCAGTGTCGTCCTCAGACCATCATTACTGTCATGGAGCTTCCTGTTGGCTGTCCTATCAGGACAAAAGGAAATGCATTCTGTTTGGGTTATGTTTCTTTTTTTAATTGCAGGGGCACTCTTGATTTGTGTTACTGTCTCACTTACTGCAGAATCTCAATCTGACTCTCCAGGATGTCTCGCTCATCAGAAAAGTGTTTCATGAGTTCTTCGTCTCTGCAACAAAACATGTAGAGATATAGAGAACGTGATGTGGACAGACAATAAACCAAACTGATCAGTTGTTCAGAGAAAAAAATGTCACCCTGATTTTATAATATGTGTATATATAATCCGAGCTCCGGTCCACAGAGCTGGGATTGTATCCTAACACTGACAGTGTTGTTTCTGTTGCTAGGTAACTACACTGAAGACGTTATTATGTGTGAAGTCACTCCAGGATATCCTGTTTCAGCTGTGACAAAACGAAACTCCAGAGGCCAACCCAGTACCAACCAATGGAGGGAGGAGGGGCCATCTCTGTCTGTCCCTTTCCCTTGAACAAGCGTAATATGATCAGCAGCTCGAAACCAGACTTATTACCAGAGTACTTTTGTTTGGCACTATCTAAGTGAAAGGAGAAATAGAAGTGTCCAATTTCTCAAGTTCAAATTTATCTACAAAACATACAAAAAAAGAGGATTGTGATTTTAGTTTTAAATTCTCAGCTTTTAAAAATGAATAGGAAGAGTGTTCACTGGGAGTTGACTGCTTCTCCTCCTTCCCACAGTTCTTCCCACAGTGTTACATTACAAATTGTATGATTAAATATGTAATTAGCTGATCCATTCCTGAAAATATCTGATAAAAAAAACATAAAAATTGAATTTACTGATAAAAAATAAGACTGCAAATGTGACCAAAACTGCATGCAGATCTACACCAACAAAGACAATTCAAATATCATCCATACGAATATTAAACCACACTGGACTACAGTCAATTCACCGTTCAGAGTTCATGCTTTGATCAGTCAACTCCGTCTTCAGCGAATCCATCTCACTCTGCAGACAGGCGATCTGGGTCTGGGACTTCAGCAGCTCCTGCTTTATCCTCTGATTCTCCTAAAGAGGAAAAAGATCAGAAGTAAAACAGCAGAATTGACTAAAACTGACTGAAACATCAAAATCAATATATGCAAATCTGCAAAGAATATTCAGTCTCACCAATGTTAGCTCATTAATCTTCTTCCGTAATGCTGGGCTCTCGTCATTCACTGTGATGTTTTTGTACTTCTCCTCTATCTGATGGACAGGTTAGCACATTCAGGACTGAGATCATTCAAATTTTAGGTCAACTCATAATCACTGTGTATAAACTCATTACTCATGGGGCCAAGAATTAATCCATTAGTCCTGGCTTTTGCTTCTTGTTAAATAAATCACAAAGAACTCTATCATGATTTTCCTAAAAATGTGTGCCGCAGCTTTGAACTTCTACAAGACAGTGACTGTTTGTATATAACTAGGGCAAAGTTTCACTCGGACACTTGGTTGAAATTGGATACCGCGGAAAAACAGTGTACGATTGTATTTTCCACAGTGTTTATTATTTCAAGTTTTCCTCTGACTGTTGTGTAAGTATATATTACATATGCGAATGACATCCTGATCTATTCTTATCATGTATAACTGTGCTTAAAAGACAGCTATTCATCCATGACATATATATAATTATACCAATCATCCAAAACATTAAGACCACTGGTCTTATGTTGGCTTGGGGATACATAACACAGCACACACAATGTCACTTCTCAAAGTCAGTGTCTTGGATGCAGAAAAAAAAAGACAAAGTCAAAGCAAATGTGACGAGAACCAAACAGTTCCAAGTGGGTGACCACAAGTTTTAAGGGGGTGTTTCTCCTGTGCTGTGGAAAGTGGGTTTCTATATGTGACCAATCAGTTTGCAGCTCTGACCCGCAGTGATCGAGCTGTGTTAAAGTAAACAAGTGAAATAAAGTATGTGACAATACCATCTGCATCCTCTGGATCTTACACTGCAGCTCGCACACTTCAGTTTCATAACTTCTTCGCAACTCATTCAAAGCGGCCTCTGTTCGTTTCCTCTCCTAGTAAACAAACAAAGACACAAACAAACAAACCATAAAGATGTAAAAACGCACAATTCAGGTACTTTTAAAGTCAGGCTGCGACAACACTTTATAGGAGTATATCCATGTGTTTCGTATTCGCTTTTCAAAAGTTTCCCATCCATGCTATTTTTGTACTACCCAAACCAAAAAGAGTTCACTGTCGATAATTTGTGGAGATAAAATCCGCTCTTTACAGGTGTCAGAATAGCACTGTCTGCACAAATATTGTATCGTAGGAGAAGACAGGTGAGAGAAATTCAAATGTCCGTGCTATTTTAGGACAAAGCAAATAGCCGCTCCTGAGCAGACTCAAGCACACTTATATAACACAGCAGTGCAGTGATAAGACAGAGTCAATGTTCCCAGTGAAGGTTCGTAATAACAGAGAGGTGCCAGAGAACGCCATGTCTGGTGTACACCAAAGCCTCACAGTGCTGTGGAGGCGGGACCATTTGGATTTTTTTTTTGCACCCAAAAAAACCAACAATCAAACTCAGCAGAAAAGCTTAAAACAGGATGGAGTTATTACAATTCTAAAAATGCCCCATTGAGCTCAAGCAGATCTCTAAAGAACAATAAGCCAAAGTTCCTCTATAATGATATCACTTTCATAAAAATTATTAAGTTATTGCTGCCTGACGAGGTTCCACAGGCTGTTAAATAATCTCATATTTGTCATATATGATGTTTTTAACAGCCGACTTTCTGTAAATAAATAACGACTTTGTAATATGTATGTGGGTTTTCTTCATTTGAGGCTCTTTTCTGATTTCTCTTGTAAGACATAAGAGAGAGAAAAGATCCTCTCTTGATTTACACCTTAGATATATATTTTTATTTCGGCTGAGTGCTGTTTCACGATTTGTAGAGCAGAGCACCTGTTGTCGCGCTGATGGCATGTCAGCAGCTTTGAATGGTTAAGCGCTTTCTGATTTTATTATTTCAACATTATCATTTTCATCCACATGTCACGCAGTCTTATCAGGACAAACATGTACAGCCTTATCGTCTTTAAGCGGAGGATAAAACACGCTCCGGCACCTCCACCCGTCCACCCACAGGTCCACAGCAGGGTGACATCCCTCTGACCAGCAGGCGTGTCTGAGTGTGGATCAGTAATGTGATATACGGCTGCCTGTGTTTGTTTGACATGAGGGAAGAGCTGAACAAACGCAACCTATTTATCATTCTGCCGACGAAACTCCACAGAAAAACACACATCGTCACACACACGCAGCGCTGCTGACACGCGGGGCCTTTGGGGCGAGTGTGTCCCACCTGCTCCCGCGTTTTTCTCTCTGCCGCATGAATGCGCTGGTCCATCTCCTCTTCCATCTCACTGAGCTGCATTGATGCTTGGTCCTGCGCTCTGAAAAACAGACAAATAATCATTTCTTTACCCTTCATAAACCTATGAGGATCTATTGAATCCACACCGGCTCTGCCAAAGACAGAAGCTAAAAGCGAGTCATCAAACTCACCACACACATGTCCTAATACATAACATCCATTTGTAGTAGATGTGTTAATGTTTAGATTGTTTCTCTGTTATCTACATCATTACAACAATATATGGAATTCATTATGAGTAATTTCAAATCCATCTACGGTGAGGAAAACATAAAATACCGACAATCCTCTGTGCTTCCTTCTTATTGTAATGCATTGCTGTTCCTTCATCCTTGATGGATGCAGGGAATGCTTCTGTGTGATTCTATGTGTTCTTCGTGCTTACCGTTTGATGGCGAGTGCCAGGTTCTCCATCTCTGAGTTCTGCTGTTTGATCTCTTTGGTGAAGTTAATGACAACTTTCTCAAACTGGGGGATCAGTCTGGGCTCGGTCAGGCTGATGTTCTGGTAGAGGGTTGCTGCCTGTTCATGCCTGGAAGAATATCAGAATATCATGACATCGACTTCTCTCCTCTCTCCGAGCATGAGTTGTGCTCAGCTGAGCGTAAAACTGCCATCAGATATATGACAGAAACTGCATGAAATTAATCGCTTTGGGAAACTGGACAAAAACTTTCATTTAAATTGGACTATTTGACATTTCCTATTAACAATGCGGGTAAAAGCAATCTTAAGACTCTCACAGGAAGGATGTGAATTGTCAGCTCTAAATACACTGACACGGATCTGGTTCCATCCTGGAGAACAGACTGTTGCTGTTTTGCTGCCGTTGCTGAAACTAGCTTTATCACGTGTAAGACTCTGAGTAATATCAAATCAAACAGCATTTATTCTGCCTGTGTGTACAGAGCCAGAAATGTTTGATTTCTCTGTGTGATGAATGCGCTATGCTCCAGGTCGCAGCCTTACACGCCCCAGAGGTGAGAGCGCACTGGGCTGGGGATTTTCGGGATCAAGCCTTAGCGCGGATACAAAAGAAACACGGTGCGTGTGTGAAGCTACATGACAGGATGGGCATGTTTCTGTGAGCTGCTGGCTTATGTACGAGTCCCGGCTGGTGATGGAAACAGTGTTTCTTTTCCATATCACATATGATTTATGAAAACACACATACAAGGAAGGAACACACATACAAATGCATCAAAATATCAAACTGACCTCAATATTGGCAGGTTAATCAGAGATGGCGATGTTGCATGGAGATATTAGAACAAAATAGTCACACTCTTCTGCATGTAAACAGGGAGGTAAAAGTGAGCCGTGTAAGACTGCAGCGTGTGTGTTTGTCTGCTGACGAGGGGGACAGGCAATAATCCTGTGCATATAGACAATGTAAACTATCTGTCAAAAGACTGGCTACCTGTGACACACATCCCAACGTAACAAACAGACACAGCCTGGACGAGTCAGATGGAAGCCAGCAACAACAGAAATGGTTGTTACATCAGTCTTGATTGGAATCAAATCAAAAACAGTTTAATCATTTAAATTTCTAGCTCCAGATTTCTTCTCAGCCACAAAATATTTTTTCATCCTTTAAAAAACGCTGTGTCCTAAACTTTCCAATCCGTCCTCCCTCAGCTGACACATGCAGCACTGGCTGTAAAGGCTTGAAGATAAGAGAGTGCTTTTAGCAGACGCCCCCACTGTGGCAATCAATGTCCTGATAGCAGAACACAGCAGCGCGAGGACCGGTCCCATGTCCGGCCTGAGGCCAAACACAAAAACACACACTGAGAATCAAGTCGTGAACAAATATGTAGGATATGTGGAGTAGGTAAAGGGGATATAGGTTGTCGGGGAACATGTGGTTACTGAAAAAAATGAGTCGGTTGGTTGAGTGCGTGTTCAGGAGTTCAGGATATTTCTGAATCATTCCATCCCTTTTATGAGATAACCATTTAATAAATGGAAGTCATCCGTCTTGTGGAAAGCGGCTGTCTGTGTAAAAAAAAAAAAAAAATGATCAAGTATCCTGTGCTGAAGTTTGCACTTCCAGTGAGAAAGCTAAAATACATTCGACAGTATGTTGGAGTTAAAAAATTCACAAGAAGTGGCATGGATTTTGATAAATTCCATCCATCCATTATTGTTACCGCTTATTCCCTAATGGGGTCGCGGGGGGAACTGGAGCCTATCCCAGTGGTCAATGGGCGAAAGGCGGGGTCATCCTGGACGATCCACCAGTCCATCGCAGGGCAACACAGAGACACACAAGTACAAACAACCATGCATTCACACTCTCTCCTAAGGGCAATTTGGAATTGCCCTTATTTGGAATTTGGAATTTTTGGACGCTGGGAGGAAACTGGAGAACATGAAGCTGGAGAGAACCCACGCAGACACAGGGAGAACATGCAAACTCCAAACAGAAAGGTCCTGGCTCCCTGGGACTCAAATCTAGAACCTTCTCCAGAACAAGTGAAGCGCATTTAAAGCAAAATTGCTTCTGTTCCAACCGTAATGCACAATAACAGCTGCAAACAGACCACATAATAATTGCAATAATATGATTGTAATATTCAGGTCATCCAAGTCAAGCCCTCTTCTAAACATTTTACAGATGTGACATTCTGCTGGATATGGCAAATATTTTCATAGCATCAACAGTTTAATCTAAAAACCTAGAGTAGGAATATTTATTCTATTGGTTCATTGCTCATCTACATTCAGAGTTAATTTAAATTAACTTATGTGTATTTTGAAAGCCTGAATTGTACTGTGTATAAAAACGTTTTGACTTTGACGCCCAGAAAGTTTGTTACCCAAAGAGCAGCAACCAACTGAGTCTCATTACATAAATCTTTTTTTTTTATTGCCTGGCTATCCTTCGGACACACAAAATGATTCCACCTCTTAAATGGTCAAATCTGAAACCTTCTGATTAAAGTCAATCTGAAATGGAGCTTTGAGATGAATGTTGTCTGAAGAAGCAGCTTTGCAAGAACTGTGAGTTTCTTGTTCTGGTGTGAAGGAATTTTAAAATATTTAAAATATGACATCAGTTTGCCTCTGGTAACTGAACCAGATGACGAACCAGAAGAGCAACAGTGTGCACAGAGAATCTCCAACCAGAAAACACTAAAGAACACAGTATGTTTTTGAAAAAATGTGTCTTTAGCTTTCATTGTCTTTATGAACACATTTTATCCAAATACCAATGTCAACAAGTGGAATTCCAGATGATGCTCACCTCCCTTTCAGACAATATGTACAAACATGTTTTCTGAGACAAAATATCAAACAGCTCCTTAGTCATGCTGGGATATAATTTTACACATAATATTAAATGAGATCAAATTGGGGGAAAAACTTCGATTGTAAAATTTTGTGGTAATTTGCATTTATGAAATGGGTTCTGACCTACTTACACAAAATAAGGAAAATTGGCCTCACAACACCAAGCAAATGAGACATCCTTAATCCAAAGAAAGCTAAAAAGTTACAGTTTTCTTTAATAACTACTTTTTTTTTTTGCTTAATTCGGTCTTCATCACCAGTTTTTGTTTCTTCTGTTATAGAGAACAACATTATTTGAACCAAAGAAACAACATATTTATTTGCTTTTCGTTTCTTATTTAGTAATTTCCTGTAATACATACCGTGTAACCTTCCCAGCAAAGATAACCCTGTATCATTTTAACCACACTGGGCTCTCTGTACTTATCACCTGCATATTTCCATATTCCTAACGGCCGTGCGCGGACAGGAGTGTGGCCTCACCTGGGAATGTACTTTGCCTGCTCGCCCAGTTTCTTCTCAAAGGTGTCCCAGGCGATGGACACGTCTGCTCCATCTGACTCCATGACCTCTCCGTATCGGTCATGAAATCCGTGGATGAACTCTTGCAGGGTGACGGTCCCGTCCTGGTCCACGTCCAGCCGGTCGAAGATGCGGTCGGCCTCCGCCGCGGACACCTGCAGCTCCGCGCAGATGGTGAGAAACTCGTTCCTCTCGATCCGGCCGGAGTTGTCTACGTCGTAGGCGCGGAAGAGGGTGCGCAGCCGCTCCTGCTCCTCCGCGCTCATGCCCTGGATGGGCTGCCGACTGGGGCGGGGAAGGGGTTGGAATGAGGTAAAAACACGTCTACCGAATCGGGGAATTCCCAAATCCTACCAAATGACCTTTGTTTTTTGTTCTATAGACAAATGTGGCCTATGACTCCCTGCGTCCTGACTGGATCCGCTCTCATCCGGACATAGTAGACTGTTTCCAAAAGTCTTCATGCAACATTAAAACATTTTGAGTAATACTGAGAAATACTGAAACGTCAAAAGAAATCTTGTGTGCAGTCTGTCAGACTCAGGTAATGCACGGAGTGTTGCGTGTGTTTCACTCCTCCCTCTCTGTGGAGTGGAGGTGTGACATAAGGCCAAACGCACGCTTCTACAGCACCTAAATGAAACCACCTAGAAGGTTTAGTCCTCTCAAAAGTTAAACCCTATGCACCTGTTCATGCCTTCTCACTAAATCTGAACGTTTTGCTACTACAGTAAATCACTCACATGTGGGCATTTCTTTTCACACATATTTTATATAACATGACTCAAATAAAAAACTGAGCGACCATACTCTCAACCCTCTTCCTCTCAGGTCAAGTTTTTGTATTTGTTTCACTAAATGAAGCATGAACAAATCTTTATGTAAGTTATCAGAGACATAAAGTCTAGATTTGCAGTCTGTGAGGCTTCACGGTTAAAGTATCTATGGCTACGTGTTCAGCCTCATTTCCTATTTAGCACGGTTATAAGTTGATGAAACGGTATTTATCCACCATATCAGTATTGTAACTTTGTTTTGAAACAAGGGATCTGTGCAAGAGGGGACCTCGAATTAAAGCTCCATGAAGACCGTTTTCAATAATGCCTACATTAATCAAATTATCACAACTTAATTTCTACATAGTGTGCTTGGAGCAGTAGGTCAGATGAGCAGAAAGTCAAAATAGTCTCAGTGAACACCAAGTTATCTAACCCTGCAAGGATTAAGTTCACCTTTTGGTACTTTGGGAAAATAGTATGAATACTGATCAATAATAGAGTTTCCTCTCAATTTGACCTCTCACCTGGTTTTGGCTTGTGCTTTGTTGATGGAAAACTCCTCCACACATGAGGAGTTTTGGTCTTTGTCTTCATCCTCCTGCCCTTGTTTTTTGAAGCCGCTGATGAACTCCTCTAAGGTCACAGTGCCGTCTTTATCAACATCCAGGCGATTGAATAGTCCCTCTGCTTCTTGCAAGGGGACTTGAAGCTCCTGACAAATAGTAAAAAACTCATTTTTTTCAATCCGCCCGGAATCATCCACATCGTAGGCATGAAAGAGAGAACTCAGGCGCTTTTGTTCCTCCTCACTACTTCTCTTCCTCGATGACATAATTTTCTTTTCTTATAGAATATATTCAGTTAAGGTCAATTAAAGATTATAAGCGAGTGCCAAGATAAGAAACTACATCAGCTAAACTGACTGAAAATTAAAGGATCAAAGCTTTGTCTTTCATAGGTGACAATAAGAAGTGATTAAAAGATAGCTCTCGGGTGGGAGACATTGAAAATGTCTGATAGAAATCCCACTTTTTAAAGACGGCAGCTTCAAGATTAGGCTGAGTCTCTGTGGTACCTCACTTTTATATCCCTAAATTGATATCCTCCCCCCTCCCCTGGCTCTTTCCCTTGTTTGTCACCAGATTCAGTTAAATCATTTTCAGGACGGTTAAAAAGGCTGTTGCAAATTCTGTTAAAAGCATGACAGCTGTAAAAATTAAAGAATCATCCAGGAGAGCATGTCAAATGGTCTTAACAGCCCGATGAAAGTGTGAACTTTAAACAAGTATGTGGAATAACCACACGTCTGGTGAGGACAGCAGAGAACAGCTGTCCTCACCAGATATGGTCAAAGAACACATCAAAACACATTTATTTAAATTTTTGATAGAGCCAAAGGTTTAAATTTACAGCACTATTTCTCTGAATTCTTACTAAATGAGCACAAATAATTGAATCTTAAACCTGGATAAAGAAAACCCTGACAACAACAAACACATCACCATGCAAATGTGTGCGGTTTTCAGATATCATTTGTGACTGAGCAGAATAATCAAACCATTATGTCATTTGTGTTTGTGGTATTTTCTATTTCTGTGTGGATGTCCCGTCTTTTACACTGTCTGTGTACTGTCATATCATTCCTTTAAATCACACCAAAAAGCAGCTGATGCTTAATATTTTCCATCAACTCAAAGCAGACAGTTGGTCTCTGTTTTGGCAGTTGCTGGGTGAAAATGTTTCTTTAGCACTATCTAACATTGATCCTGTCAAGCTGCTTTATATCTTTCAAAAAGTTACTTTATTTCATGGATGTCAAACCCCTCAGTAAGTGTTTTCTCATCGCTAAAAGTCAAACCTGTGTCTAGTTATAGAAGAAATTGTTCTGATATTAAAAGTCAGGAAAAAAACAAACAGGGAAACACTTCATAATGTTATTTTTGATGAGGGCTCTACTATTTAAAAGCAAGAGCAGGGACTTCATTTTTTAGTGGCTTCTCTAGAGCGATATTTGAAAAAATTGTATCATGCAACAGGAATTCTGATGTTACCATTAAAGTGGAAGCGATGAAGAGTTTTTGACATTTAACAATGTGAAGAGTTTAAAGCAACGGAGCTGAAACAACATTATTGTTGTGTCAAAGACATGTTTGACCTGCTAACTTTGTATTAAAGACGGGTGGAAAATGACCTTGTGTGTTTACTTGCTGAAGCATCTGGAAATCTCCATTATTTTTTTCTGTTATGTTCTTGCTAAACAGCAGTTAAACTCAATTGTTGCTTTCATTATAGATGCTGATGATCCCAAAGCGACATACATTCAGGAGAGTTTTTAGTAATTTCACACGTATGTAAAAATGATCCTCTAACCTGATCAACAATTCGCTGGGACTTTCACTCCAGTATCTGCATTTCCTCTCCATACTGCTAACACATCATATAACTGACCAATAACAGACAGCATCTGGTCTCCTTGGAAATCAGGACCAATACAACCAGTGACCTATAGTTCAAAGTAATCAGAAAAGTAACTCCTAGTGAAAGATTTTAAACAATCAAAACTGTGCATTTTATGCTGGGAAATCAGCATTGATATGTATGAATTTTCAAAGTGTGTAGAAAAAAAGAGAATTTGCACAGTTCAAACAAGCCAGGGATACTTTGTGCGTCATGCTGTGTTTAATTTTCCCCACGACAGCAGGCAGATGTGTTCAGTACGTAAGAGCTATTAAAAAAAACAGTGTCAACACAGCTATGCAAAATTTACCTCATGGATTTTGTTTATTCTGTCTGAGTGTAGGATTTTTTTTTAATAATTACTAGATAGAACAGTAGTTTATTGATTGAGGGACTGAGTCCTGGAATCATGTGATAGCAGAATTTGCAACAAATATCCATAACATACAGCTCATTAACAGTTGCCCTGCAGTCTTTAAAGGCTAATTTGAATGATCAAAGAAGTATTGTACTATAAATTATTCTAAGTAATCTCTCTAAGTCTCACTTCCAGAGAATTTCCACAAAGAGAGAAGAAGCAACAACCCGTTGGTTACAGTGGAACTATCAGTCCTGAGATTTTTCCTTTCAGAGAGAGAGAGGCATAAAGTTAAATGAAAGCTTTTGTCTAAAAGATGTCGGCTATGACTTGCAGTTTGTGTGCCAGTATGATTGCAGGTGATAGAGTTTTCGGATATCAGTTGTTTGTCTAGGGAGAGGTGCATTACACAAATGTGCTGGAAGTAGTTACAGCATGAGAACACACCATGTGTTACCTTCTTCTTGGAAAAGTATGGGATATCCTAATTATCCACCGTGTGTCTAATGTTTCATTTAGCCCTTCAAAACTGTGACAATAGATCCTGACTTCAAATACGATAAACTGTTTTCAGGAGCAGCAAATTAGCACACAGCGCATGTGATGAGCAGCCAGAGTGTGCAAGCAGGAAGAGGCCGCATGGACAACCACATTTGTGCTTAAACTGGTGGACCCTTTCTAACAAGTCTGAGAAAAATTCATTTTGACACTGAATTATTCTGTAAGGAGAGAGAAATTGTCTGGATTGTTTTAGTATAATCACATGACCTGATGACAATAGAGGTAAGAGTGGAAGAATTGCGTGAAGTTAAGATATCAAGATGAATGTGACTTCAATTTAAGGTGTTAATTGAAGCAGCACAAAATGAATAACTCTTTAAGTCAAAACATAAAAAAAAAATCCACATTCATGTTGAGTTTTATATCTGTGGGTTTAATAAATTGACCTTTACAATCTGAAAGCTTTGTAAGCTTCTAATTTAAGACTTAAAGAATAAATGTTAAAGTAGACCCATAAGTTTTTTCCTCTATCAAAGTAATTTTTGTCATTGTGCATGATATGCTAGCAGCAACTTTGTTTTATTTATTACTGTTATGAAAAATGGCCTTATGACTGGTAGTTGGATTGATGTAACGTCTGTTAAAGAGTATTTTTGAGAAAGTGAAAATGAACAGCAGTAAGAGAGCCAATGCTTTGACGTGTGGTTAGTCATGTGAGAGGTATGCTATGGTGATGTTTGACCTATTGTCGGTTGGTGATGCTGGTTTAATCTCTAGCTAAAACTGCTCAGGTTCTTTCTAATTTGACTTACAGATGGAATCAGGGCTTGAAGTTTTAACCGTCAGTTGGGGTGTCCTGTCCTGTGTGGCTTATTTTCACATATTCATACATGATCAAATCTGTGTGGTACACTTGTCCTTACAGAACCTTTTTGTGACTTTACTCCATACTGTGATTCTCTATTTGCCTGTTGTTAAATCTTTATTTAGCTTAATCAATTATGCATTTTAGAAAGTTCTGCTTTTGGTTAAGCTGCAGCCGTCTTGTAAAACATGCCAGTAGAATACTTTCAAGTCCCAGTTTTGAAGAATTCACAGCACCAAAGCGCATGCTTCTTTTATCAGTGGCATCACTCCCAAATGATTTGGATTATTTGATCCAGTTTGTTGCAGCATCTGATGCAAGTGTTCGACTTGTTCTGCTGTGTGGTGCTTTTGAGGAGACGAGTGTAGTCTTGGAGTTTGTTTTATTGATGGCAAGTTGTCCTTTTCATGAGCTCAGTTTCTCTGTTCTTAGACCAAGCTTCTTAATCGGGAGGAAAGGAGAGACAAACTTGGATATCATCCTGGGAGGGACGTTTCCAGACTCCAAGAAAACTATTTCATTCTCTACTTTGATTATCTTGGTCTCACTGAACTTTCTACCTTATCCAGATATGTCATCATTACCTGCAGCACAGAGTACATGTTTCTGATATTTAGCGGAGCATTTTTCTGTCCCTGTCTGATTTACATACATCTCATATTGAGTTAGCAGCTGTGAAAAACTCACGGTAAAACTTTTACCCCCCTTTGGTGGAAACTGTCTGCTCTGCTCAACAAAGTCTTCATCTTATGCTGCTGTCTGAAAAGAGAGCTCTAGTCCTAACAATGAACCTCCTGGTGATACAGCGCTGCTCACAGTAATTTTATTATGATGTCAGCACCAACTCAACCATTTTACTACCACATGAGGGAGACAAAGCTCTGGCATGTATGAATAATAAACAAGTAATAAAAAGTAACCAACTCAACAGTGAACTCATTACTGTGTATATTCATTAGGGAGCTTTATTTTTGGCAATATTAACATATAAAACAACATTTTTATTTTATTTTTTTAGAACATACAAACATTCAAAATTTTCACCTCACAAAGTTCATAAGGCTTGGTTGTCCCAGAAGGAAAGGGGTCATTTCTGAAGTTTTTTTTCTTATTTTTCAGATTTCTTTTTAAAATGATGTCTCCCAGAGTATCGTAGTAAAAGAGACCAAGTGACAAGAGGAAGAAAAAGAAACAAAACAAACAAACTAAAAAAAGACAAACCAACTGTACAGCAAATAAATCAGTTTGATAGACAAAAACAATACAGAAACCGTGCAAGATAATCTGTACGATACATGCCCACACAACTCTGAAATACTATACAGGTATTTTTCCTCTTATACCGTGTTGTCCAGCAATTTTGCATATATTAGACCTGAGTTCAAACACTTAGAATCTTAAAGAAATTAGTTAAATGCTATTATTAGTTTTGAATCCAATTTTTTTGCACCATATGTGTTTAGAGACAAATTATTTCAGGATTTACAGATTTAAGGTTAGAAATATTAGAGCTTTTGTCTAGAGTTTGTTTAATACCTTAGATGTGAAATCAGCTGCTGTGTGGTCTAATTGATATTCATTCATGTTTTAATCACAGTTAAAATACAGGAAACAAAGGTTGCACTCTCAGTCCATGTAAAGTATATGATCGTTAGCAAAGACAGAAACTCAATTTAAACAATTCAATATTCAGAGCTAAGAACAAAAGTGGTTAAATTCCCCTTTTTTTTTTAGACCAAACTGATAAATGAGTAACCATACAAAGTAATATAATGCTACAGTGCCATGGTCTGTTAGTTATTACAGGGCCAAGAAGTCCTTTTTTTATGTTGTTTCCAACCAGTTTAGTTTCTACAAACTCTGAGCAGTGTGTAAAACATTTTTGGAATACAGTCTGATAATTGGGATTCAGCCAAATGCTTTGAAACTGAAAGTGAATGAACCCCAACCTTATTTATGGTAGACAACATGCTAGCATGCTCTTTTAGCCATGACGTTTGCACTAACGTTAAGCTTTAATGATTTACGAACACTAACGGCTCAAATGCGCTCAACTTATTCTTTTTATAAAATGAACTTTTTTAAATACTCAACTGGATTGAATGTGAGATAAATGGATTGGCTCAGCTAAGTGGCAGACAAAAGAAGCAACCACATATCAATGATTGAAATGTAATGTATTTTTGGAACTGCACTAAAGGTCAAGCGTAATTTTGATTTGATTTACATATTTCATAAATATGTAAGTTTTGTCTTTTCTCCTCCTTTTTATTCTGCTGGTAAAAACACAGAAAACATGCATTAATCTAAGATGATTGAGACAGCCAAGCCTATACCTAGGTTGCTTTACACAGACAAGACACAGAAAAAGAAAATCATCCACCAAAGTAGGCTTTTTCCTTTTGTTCTCTTTTCTTTCATGCCGCAGCTATAAACACAGTATTTACAGAGGAGGGCATAAAGTTTGCACTGAAAGATCAGCAATGGCCCACAGATAAATGACCTTTTTTATGTGGCACAAAGAGAAATAAAAAGTCCAAACCTAGCCATGTCTGTGGAGCTGTGGGCGCATGAGGTCTGAGCATAGCCACATGCATAGCAACGGTCAAACATCCATGAATAAAGAAAGAATGACATATTCACCCCTTTTATGAGACTACGGTGGTAAATTTCGTGTGCATACAGGTCAGCTTCACCTACAGTCATGAAAATATTCTTAAACTCGATGTATGTCGGTTGAAGTGGTCTGACCCGTTCCCTGGTTTCCCCAGTGAAACTCAGTGCATGTACTGTCGTAAGAAAATAAAGGCTTTGTCTCATAAGTGTGTTTCTGTTGTTACAGAATATTTTCTATATGCATACAGCTTGTTTATGCATAAACTCTGAAAAAGCTACACAACAACACATCTGATCACATGAGGCAGCGGATAGCTGGGCAGAGGGCTTTGATAGTGATATGCTTGATATAATCTATAACAGCATTTTTTAGAGCAGGCCAATTCTGGTCCAAAGCAGGAGTGACAGAGGTTTACCATGATGAGCCAATGATGCTGACTCGTTAAAGAATATACTTGTTATGATTACATGGGTACGTACATATACAAAGAAGATAGTTGATCAAATTAGGCAGACAGCCTGTATCCACTTTGACTTCTGGCTTCACTTACAGTAATATGATCTTCATAAATGCATAATGTGATGTGTAATGACTATAAACTATAAGGTTTACACTGCAATTAGACGCATTTTTTAAAACATAATTTTTGACACATATTTTAAATTCTGAACACAAACTGCTAATGCCCTTCCTGAGAATTCATCCTAAGTGAACTACATTTTGAATAAATATGTTTTTAGACATCTGTTTTAATTTCATCTGAAGTCATTTCACATGTCTGAATATTCTAGCACTCCTTTTGTTCCGAGCCACTACAGTGGAACTCACAGGCACTCTCTATATGCTAATCCACTGTGCTGCTGGCTGCTTTTCCCCAAAAGCCCATTAACATTTTTTAAGGATCAGAGCAAATTCATCAACATGACTTACACGGTGATGTTCATTTGAGTCTTTTCCGGTCCTGTCTGTTCTGATAACCTCTTAGAAGCAGTAGTAATGCAGCACGACATATCCACAGAACCTTTGTCAACATGAATGTTCACAGATCCTCTTAGAAATGGCTACAAATCATTTCTATCATTTGCCTGTACCTAAAATACTGATGTGCTTCTACAAGTGAAATAACTGCATCTGCCTTTGTTCAGCCTGATCATCAGAGGATAAGACCATTAAAGACTATTGCGTGTCATTTCCCAGCAGTCTACTTAGAATATTACCACCTGGTCCTCTGGGCATTTGGATGTAACCTCTTTCTTTATTTTCCATTTTTACGTACACAGAGCTTTTCTGAAACAAACAAACCCACACATCCCCAATTTGTTTGAAGTTGCACTTGTAGCCTTAACTGATGGGATAAAATTGAGTTCACCTGGAATCTTGAAGTTCACCAGCGCAATTTGTCATTTCAAATGGGCTCAGGTCAATCTGCTCTCTCTCTTCTACTTTCATAATGACATCACATAATCTGAAACAGTTGTAGTTTGAAGTTTTTGTGCTATAACCTCTATAGGAAAAACCCAGGGTACTACCTTATCAACGCAAGTTGACAGTAGTCTTAAAAAATAGTTTAAGTTTCTCAACACCCATCACCCTGATAAACTGCAATAAATTAGCTTTTTTTTTATAATCTTTTGTAAACTCGTAATCTTTAAAATAAAGAGATCCTCTGAAAAATTCCTGAAAGATCTGAATCACATAAAAATGTACAAAATATTAAAAACAACTTAATATTCGTAGCAATTTTCAAAATCTGATATCTCTGTTATAGCTCTGGCTGTGTTTTTTGTTGTGTATACTGCTAAATAATCTGTTTCTCTGTGTTTTCCCACACACCCCGTCATCACTGACAAGCTCCCTGACCAATCAGGTGATCTGCTCTGAAGACAGGAACCGAACGGAACTGCATGTGAAGCATCTCTGCATCCACTTGTCAACATCAGGAGTGGGAAGGCAATTATACTGTCTGGTAAAATAAAAACCCCTTCAGTCCATGACTTCCATTCTTGAACATCTATTATATTTTCTCTTCTTGTTCTTTTCAGTTAATCCCTGCCAAAAGTGTCTTTCTTAACAAGTGATCGAGTCTCATGATTAAAACGCTTCTTTTCATATTCTCTTTTTTTCATGAGAGCAAATCATGCTGCCAAAGAGGTGGAAAAAATCTACTTCATTCATGCTCAGTCAGAATTTTCTCCTCGGGTGCATCCCCTCAATAAAACATCATGCAACAACTCTGTGAGACATCTTTACTTAACATATCGCAGAGTTGCTCAGAAACAAATTAAATATGTCCACTCCTTCGGCAGAATGGTTACTTTGTCTCAAGACACACTATTTGTTAAGACTGCTTATGAGATTAAATCACCTGTTAAGAGAGACATGTGAGCACATTTGTTTCCATCGATGGGACTCCTCGCTCTCCTTTTTCCCCAAACATCTTTTCCTTTTCAGTCTGACCAGAGGTTCTCCATAGCCATGCTGATCTTACAAAGGATCCAGCGCCGGAGTGGGCAGTAATATTCAAAGTGGAACTGCTCAAACTCTGGCGTTTGCCGTATCTCATGAAGGAATGACACGTCGATGTCTGACTCCAGCAGCAGCAGCAGGGTGGGCACGGTGACCAGCAGGACACCCATGACCACAGCAACAAAGCGGGCCACGCTCAGCACACAGGCATTGACTCTCTCATTGGAGGACAGCAAGCGCAGGCTGCCGGTCAGGACATCACTCATTAGGCTTCTGGAGGCCAGGCGGGTGCGTTCGTAGGCGCGATCTCGCTCCCGCTCGGCCTCCAGCTGTGCCTGGATGTCTGGGTCTGCGTGGAGTTCCCTCAGCAGTCGGGCGGGACTTTGGACTGGCGAGGAGAAGAGGAGATCCACTCCTCCCTGACTGTCATCCACTGGGGTTGGAACCATGCTGGCACAGGGGCTGGAAACAGGAGAGGAGACAGACATAAGACATAAACAAAACCCCTCTTCAATTAAAATTCAAGGACAGTTGATTATATCACAGATTCGGAAAAATGGCTTGAAGCTGGTGAAAATATTATCGTTAGTCTAAAAATCTCCAGCTCTTTTGCCAATTGTTCACCATAGATTGCTGAATGCTGACTGCCTTATCTCAATACAATGGTACAAAAATGCTTGGATAAACTAAACTGACCTGGGAAAAAAGCCAAAAAAGAACAGATACAGCTTAAATAAATTATAAGGTCTTGATGTAATTAAAAAAATATATTAAAGTAGGTAGGGCTTTTTCTATAGACCTGTAAGAAAGCTCAGAAATGGTGAGAGCACCACCAGCCTGGTCATCTTCCTCCAAGCCATCTTCAGTTTGGGGTGTTTGAGGTCGAAGATTGGATGTTTCCGTGGAAACGTGGGGATGCTGCAGCTCGCTGCTCAAAGGGTTTCCATTTTCCGCACTTTGTTGCTCTGTGTCCGCGTGTGCCGCTGAAGGTTTGAGAGGAGACAAGTGCACAGGGTCCCTCACTGCAACGACAGCTGGTGACAGAAAGCGACAGGATACGGTTTAAGGACAACCTGTCTTTACACAGGCGCAGTAACTTTATTGTCAAGCAGATATCAGTTCAAAAGCATGAGGTTAAATCAAACAAAAATCGCACCAAACTGTGAAATATGTCAAATTATAGAATTTTGTTCAACTGGTGATTCCCTCACCGTCCCAACTATATTTCACACTATTTAGCCCTACTGCAGCATGATATAGTCTTGATTAAAATAAATAAATAAACAAAAATAAATATACATATATATGTGTGTTTTTTAAGAGATATGAATATTTGCTATTCAGGATGTTATATGGCTTTATCTAACATCAGTATCTTCCTGAGACGTCATGTTGACAAAACTGTCACACTTTTACAAACGTAAGTAATGTCTTCTTCACGTTTGTTATGTGTTCCAGAGCCAGACAGCCGGAGCTGTTTTCACTGCTTGAAAATATTCACATCCACAAAACACTGATTTTGTATGCAACTGGGTCAACGGACCCCCAAAGCTGTTCCTCTATGGTGTAATTCAAACCAATAACCACACGATGGCGTTCCCATCTTGCTTACACATAAAACGAAACAATAACCCCCTAAAAACATAGTAAGTATAGTAATATAACAGAGACACAACCTTGCATCACACCTGGAATTTTCGAAGGTATTTATGGGATTTCTCAAGGTGGAAGAATGAAGTGTCTCATGGGGCTTGGCTCTGGGCCTGTGTCACGGCTGCATGCTGTTGCATTTGACCAACAGATGCCAGGGGACAGCAACTGTGAATGAGCTGAGGCCATAATGAACTTTGTCACGTGATTTGTGTTTATGCTTGCTAATTCCAGTATTTAGCTCCATCAGAGTAAAACTAAAGCATATCCTTCTTTATATTGTGACATAAACTGACATCCAATCAGTGCGTGTGGATTCACTGTGAACCTGTTAAAAATAACGCCAGCTGTCTTCTTGTAGTGGATTCAGAGGAAACATGTGACCTATTAATCTGTAAGTAAACACCACTAATGCAGATATTTCCACCACTGTTATGTAATTTCTTAAGGTCTGTTGGACAAGTGTCTACATGTCTTCAAAGCAAAGTGTTACGAACCTAGTGTGAACCATTTATAAAATCAAAACTTATTCATCCACATGAACTCATATACACTGACAAATCAGTTAGAGTGAACACATATTAAATTAATAACAGAAAGGATTTAAACAAAACATAAAAGAAACCGAGAAAGGGAGAGGACGGCTTGAGGAGCAAGTGGTGACAGCTACCATGGAAACAGAGACTTAAGAAGCCAATGAGCGCATGAACTCAGGGAAGAAAATAAAATGGAAGTATTTGATATTTTGAAAACATGGAATCAAGAGCAGAGAGAACAACATTAGTGGAGGAGGTTGAGGGATATAACCAGATACAAATGTTTTCCATAGTTTTCTTTAAATGTCTGAACAGCTCAGCCATGTAAAAAATATTTAATTGTTTTAACTTAAATTGTTTTATCCAAATCCAAATATGTTCACCTAGTTATGTGAGAACGAATGTCAAATTGGAATTGGGCCACGCCTGTTTGCTTAGATCCCAGTTTCTGTTTAGATGAGGTGATTAACACCACGGGGTGCTAAATTCCTGTATCTACCGTATGCACACACTCATGTACACACAGAGGAGTGCTCTCCCCTGTTATGCAGCTGTCAGCATGACAGTTCATCTTTGTCATGCAACTTCATTTTCAGCCCTTTAACACCTATAAAATAGATGCTCTGCACACCTGTATCCATGTGCGCACATTAATGTACAATTTGTTCTACAAGATATTGATTCTGCGTCCCTTTGGTTTGTCTAGAACACTCAACTTTTCATGTCCATTAACAGGATACTATCCTACTTTAAAGAAATTATTGACTCCCTGTGTTTCATGTGTTTTGTTTAAAAAGCAACTCTAACTGTTCAGAATCATCCTGTGTTTTTGTAGATTATGTCGTTTCACTCAGACGGGGCCTCTCTTTGCTGCTCTTGTAGGGTCAAGTGGAAGAGCAGGATTACATGTGCTATCACTCCTGAACCTGATGAGTATTCAGTGTCAGAATCAAGGACACCTCAGTGGGAGAAAATGTCAACAGGAGATGTGAAGGCATATTTCAAACACAACATACCAGGCATACAGACAAAAGCTGCTTCAACACCAGACCAGTACAGTTCACCACATTCAGAGAGCATTGTGCCGTTCTGCTGGTGTTCATGGTTGTCTGTTAGTCATACAGAGCACATTGTGGAAAATTCATTATATAGTTTACTATCTAGTTTACTATTCCATCACATGTCCGCAAGCACCCACACACGAGCAAAAAAATTTTCTCTTGAGAGTCTCAGGATGTTTGTGTGATCGCATTTACGGTTTGCACCTCATGGTTGCCACAACAGCCCAGGCAAACTGACTACTGACCAAATACAATGAGACTTAACACTTTCACTAAATACATTTGAAAAGGATTTGTCTTTACTTTACTCAACTCTAAAAAGTTTAGACTGTGGTGACCATGTTCATTTAATGCATCACTTTATTTCCATTATAACGCATCTTACTGTGTTCCAGTGTGTTTCTCTGATGCCCAACTCCGGTTCCAGCAATGTGTCCCCCATGCCCCACTAGCCGCACATAAACGTCCCGTGCTGTGTGATTGGCTATACGTAGATGGAGGTTCCGCCGTGTTGTAATCTTTACTTGGCACCTCAAGGCTTCGGCCACCACTACAGATGATGCTCCCTCATCTTCAGCCTCCCCCGGGTGGAATACTTCAAGTGGCCCGATCTGTCCTTCCTCCATCGTGTTTGCTTGGACTTTCCCTGCTGTCACATCCAGACTGCCTCCTCCTGTGCTGCCCTGGCCTCTGCAGCTCGAGGAATCCTCTCCGTTTGGATGGACGCCCACTCTCCTTTCAAAAGTACTCTGCATAAGACAGCCTCCAGCATCACTGCTGTTTCGGTGCCCAAGAAGCTCCATCCTTTGCTGTGGCGACAAACTTCAAGGCCAACTGTCTACAGAGAGACCCCCGCACCCTGACTGAGTGGGCTGCCAGCTGGGCTCCAACACACACCTATACATACATGCAGAGACAGACACTGCGAGGCGGACACCAGACACATAGTTTGTCTCATACGCAGAGGTGGCGGGCCCTCTTGTGAATGTCAATGATACCAACAGAGAGTGAAGGGGGCATTAGAAAAGGATCAGGCCCAAAGCTGCAGTTTCTATATATAACCTGGTGGTCCTAGCTGCAGAGTGGCAGCTAATCTAACTCTGATTATGGAAAGGCAGGCCTGACCCATGACGGGATAGGCATCACTTTCTTTTCTTCTCGCTAAATCGGTCATTATTTCCAATTTCTCCTACTGCGATAGATTTATTTATTTTCTATCGAGTATACCAGTTACTGAAAAAGAAAAGACTTATTCAGTCCATTATTATGGAGGAGATATGAGGACTTGTTGCATCAATTTAGCAATCTCACTCAGTATAAAAATATTTACAGATGCGGACGACTATAGACTACATTTGTGCATGGCACAAATATGGTCTAATCCAAATTTTTCATGTATTAATCTGGTCAAACTACTACAAACATGAGCATTTGTGTATGGATTTAGGTAAATCAGATGGGAACATGCTGTACAACACTACAAGGTCAGCGCTGACCTTGGGTCAGCTTCCTGTTTCCCTCTAATGGCTCAGATTAGTGCTCTGAATATAGATGGTGATCCTACACTATCTCAAGGACACTTTATCCCAAAGTCTTTGGAGGAGCTTCTTTGAATGGTCAGCATATGACAATTTATAGATATGAGTGTGCTTGAATTGAGCTTCTTATTCTCTGTATAAATACTGCAGGGTGAATACAACAGAAACAATGGAAGTTTAAGCCAAACAAGATGTCTTTCAAATGAGGAGATTAGCAGGGATTTTAGGTCAGTTTGTCATGAAATACACTGTTAAAAATAGGGGCTCAATTGGAGTGTATTTCTGTCCCCTGAAGCCTTTCTCTACTCATGTACCCTATAGGCCTAAACACTAGTACACATGTGTTCCCTACTATAAAATATTGCACATATGCAATTTTAGGGAGGTGGACAGCAAGTAAATAAAGAGTGGTGGATTAACAGTTATTATTTGAACTGGTAAAGTCCTGTCTTCAGAGGCAGTGACTCCATATGGACTCTGTGCTGAATTGCTGGCCTTTATATCACACCACAGACACTGTCAACATTGTGTTTAAGATCTCGATTAAGAGGAAATATAGAAATACTCAAATGTGAACCAAAGTTTGATTTTGAATGTCTTCATGTCCTCTCGATTTACTCTGAAAGAGGTCTCTTTTTACTTACAAATTAGATACAAAACTACAAGCAGAGGTACAACTCTGGCCTTTAAAAGGAACAAACTACAAGGGTACAGCACATGGGCCATGAAGGTTAACCCCCAGTGACAAGCCATTAGAACCCTGAAGGTACAATAAGGTGCTTTCTTTTCTGAGAGTGTGCGGTTTCTCTAAATCCAATGATAGGAAAGCTGTTGAGTGAGCACACGATTCATCTCACAAAGCTACACACACAGACAGCCAAATCCCTCATGCAGCTAAGCAGGATGAGTTAAACAATTGAAATCCATTCGAAATAAAGCCTGATTAAAATGAACAAAGTTGTCTAAATTTAAAATATTCATGAGATGTCAACATGCTCTGGAATACTATTTTTGCTTTAAATACTTTGAATAATTAAAAAGCTTAAACATTTAATATTTTATATTGTTGCATAAATGGCAGTAAGTGCATAGGGAAATGAAACATTTTAAAATTGCATATTATGTTATTACTCAGCCTGGAACATGTGATGCATGGGCCTTTTATTTCCTGACTACATCCTACTCCACTCAAACTAACTGATTGAGCCTGTTGAGATAGATTTTCGGGGTCATGAAACAGATTTCCCTGAAGTAGAATGACAGAGGAGATGTGAGAAGGATAGGGAGAATGGGAAAGAATGAGAAACAAATATACTGAAGGATGCCCATAAATAAAGTCAACGGTCTGCAGAGAGTGATGGTATAACGGGACAAGGGTGTGAGGACTGAAGAGCAGGATTCACTTGATGTGATGGGATTGGCGAGAAGTGTCAAATTTTGCCATTGGTGAAACTGAAAAAGTCAAGTGACAATGGGTGGAGATAATGGGTGGATTGATGCATGCATTGAGTATGATAAATAATTAATTTGACTGCTGTCTTTGTCCCAGGATACAGGCACACAGGGGGAATGAATGAGCATATCTAAGACTTTTAGACTCCACTATGATACATGTCTTTTTCAGCTTGTTAGCATGTAATATTACTTAATTAGATTGCTTTAGAGTTGTGTACATTTTTAAATGATTTGTGTTTATTGGACTATTGGGAAATTAGAAAAATCCCACCTCTCTCTGTCTTTGGGTTGTATTATTCACTAAAAGTGAGGAGCACTGACAGGGGCTTTGGGCAGTGTGAGTTTAAATGAACAAATAATGCTCAGGCAGGGGCTGTTTTACAACAAATCACCTTACCCGTGTCAGTTAGTCTGAGTGTAAAAATTAAGATTTTGGTTTGGAATACTATGATTCCTCTAAATAACATACAGCAGTGATCTAACATCAGAGGCACAGAGGTTAGGTCAGGTCTACGCTGATAATAGAACAAGCAACCGCAATTGTTGGGGAAATTAATAACATATTGTACACTTTAACTTGTGATCAGAATTACTTTGGCTTATGTTTGTCATTTGAAAACAGTTCCCATGCCAGTCTATTATCTAGTCCATGACTTTGTCATGACCTTAATATTCAAGATTTAACATTTAATTTGCATTCAACTCTGTGTTTGTTTTGCCTTTATCTTCTCCACTCCCAAACCGTGTAATCTTACTCTCTGCTTTTTCCCACCTTCTTTTTTTCTCCCCATCAACAAGATTTATGTTACAATCAGATAATAGGTCACCATGGAGATTGTCAGGAATAACAACAAGGAGAAAAAGTGACAGAGAATAATGACAACATCCCACAATGTCATGGGGGAAACACTAAAGCCCAGATTGTTGTGAGTACTTTTTATGGACTACATAAATCTACAGAGGGACGAATATGTCCAGGGGAAAAAAGACAGTTTCTTAGGTTTTTCTCAGCTTTACTTCATGTATTCATGAGAAGAAAACACATGCTATATTTTGACCTGACCATTTGAAGAGAACCAAATCAATAAATAAAGAGTCAAAATGCTGTCATAATTATTACATTTCAGGCTAAACATTTCTCATGTAATTCTTTTTAAATCACAACAGAGCAAATAATTAAACAATAATAAAATGAAAAAAAGTATTTTGTAGTCTCTTGCCATTTTGTGGTTCACTTCTCGTAGTCTCACTGTATAGCTAATTTTAAAACTGTAAATATCAAATTTAGTATCACAGATATTTTTTGACAAAACGAGGGTTTTTGGGGAATAGGTATTTTCTATATTCATCATTGTAATCATTTTGTAATGTTTTCTAAAAAAACACATAAAATAACTAAAACATGTTAAAAGAATAATAATCATACAGCAGATGAGCAGACAAAGAGTCCCATGTGGAAACAAACTGACTGCCACTTTTGCCAGAGCTAAGCACATATGACTCTGCGAAAGACGCACATGCACAGAGGCATGGTGGGACCCTTAGGGAGGATCATGGGAAGGGTATTTTTAGCGTACACCAATTGGTGTCTCCAGGGAGATGAAGCTGATGGAAGAATGGTAGAGTCAGCTGCTCAATTAACTATCTGTTGCACATGAGCCTTTTCCTATAGTAGTCAGACCCAGAGGCTGCTGATAGGATGGAGTGATGTTGTGTGTACTATCTGTGTTCAAGAAAATGAGCATCTTCCTACCACTGTCTGCTGCTGTCTCTTCATATTCGTTGGTGGAGGGCAGTGCAGGTACCAAAGGCTCCATGTTCATGATGAGATTTTTATGGCTCAAGGAGTTAAAACTTCGACTCTGACCAAACTGGGCCCTGGAAAGAATGACAAAAGTCTGCTGATTTTGACTAGTTGTTTTGCAAACTTGCTTCTTTGAGGCTTGCTCTTTGTTCCCATAAATACATTTGGGTGTCAGTACTAATAAGGCTGGTTTCTTGTTCTTACCTGTGTACCTCTGGTGGGTCTCTCTGAATCTTTGAGCTGGCTTCAATCACCTCCTTGGCCACTCTCCCACTATTAAGATGAAAACGTGATAGTAAACAGGTTCATTCTCACTGCTTAAATCAAACTGATTTCTCAGCTAATAAAATCAGGCAGTGTCAAGATCAGTAAATCACTGAGGGCTGTTGGTTTTGATGCCAAGCCAGAAGCGGCTTTTACGTCTGCACCATGTTCTTAAGCCCTTAGCCCCAGAATACAAAACTTTGTGAATTTTGGCAAATATAGCTTTAATTTGTGTATTTTTATGATCTTTGAGCTTTGATCTTTGTCAATTTGGCCATAAATTAAAATAGAAAATAAGAGGAATTACACACCAGTAATATGCGAGTTGTAGATGCATCAGTTGTTAATCTGAACATTACCTTATTTTCTGTTTCTCACAGCTTTTTTCTTTTACTTTCTTCATGGGAATGTATCTTGCATATTTCCGAATCATATTTGTGCCATACAACTACACTCACACATATGAACGTCAGCTTCCGTCTCACCTGTATCTGAACCTGCTTCCTTTGAAGAAGATGTTACTGCTTGAAACCGTCTTTATCTGACTTGATTTTGCACATCTGTCAAACAGGAGGGAGGAAGAAAGAAAAGATACATATAAGGAAACTGACTGAAGCACACACTGACTAGCACAATTCTACAGATTTAGTTTTCACAGATCAACATCTCTGTTAATGATAAAGGGACAGTTCCCCTCATTTTTGATGGCCAGTTATACTCCCACCATCTGATTCTCATTTTTTATCTTTACTTTACCTTTAACTTACGGTAAAACAGTAATGAAACCAAATGAAAAGATTAGAAAAAAGTTATGGTGGTGTGTAGAGGGCCGGTCCAGTACCCAGACTCCTCCACTAAAAAGCCATGCTTTTGTAAAAGTTGCGGTATCTTTGTTTTGCACATTTCACTGTCATTTTGCTTCCCTCAAAGCTTCATCATCTGGATGCCCACATGTGTTACTCTCATCCTGTCTACCCCTTTCAGCAGAACTGTTTTCTTTCCATTTGTGTAGGTTGGCAGCTCCTTAGGCAATTACACAACACATATCATTTAAAGTTTTTAAAAAAGAGCACCACTAACAAACCAGTTAGCCCCTCTTGGATAATTTATTTAGTTCTCTATGTGAAATTTTCTCATGTTTATCGTCAAAAACCACACTCTGGAACAACAGAAATGGAGGAAAGCACAAACACACATCTATGCTCCTCATGTTCAAGTGTTGAGCAAGCTCAGGTTCCCTGCAATTTACAAACTCAATTTACTCTGATTTGATTTAGCAGCTCTGATGCTTGTCTGACATCTGAGATGGCATCCACACTGTTTTTCTCTTCACTACTGGCATTAAGACGTCAATATCCAGGATTATACCGGAAGGAACCGTTGCCAGAAAGCTTCTCTGTGTGCATAACCACTTCCTCAAGTTCTAAGTTATTTGAATGAATGCATATTTAAATAAAGAAATTAAATAAAGAAGTCTCTATATGCACCAATAGTTGAATAAAGCAGGAAAAAACTTATTCAAGCCCAGAACAAGTATGGAAGTGCCTGCTGTACACAGGGAAGGGAGGTAGACCTTTATGACAGCTGACAGTCTGGAGGAGGTAGGGCACCACAAAGGAGTCAGTCATGAGCCAGCTTTCTTTTGCATCAAACCTACGGAAAACCTTTTCAGTGGCTTTTATTAAAGCAAAAATACACTTAAAAATCTACTTTAAAATGGGATGAGGAACTGATAGACTCTTTGCTTGCAGAAGGTCTAAGGTCACATTCCAGGATAGTTACTGATCTAAAGAAACTCGTGGATTCTGTGAAACCATGCCAGTTTGTATTGTGGCATCTATGTTGAACTGTTAAATCTGCGTTGTTGATGTTTTCACTGAACCCTCACCAATGCAAAACCTTAGTCCATGATGTCAGCTTGCTATTTTGTATGCTGCTTGTCCTCTGACACAAGGAGTGTTAAGTTTTTGTTTTCACACTGAAGCCTTCACCCTGTGTTTGTTTCCATTCCTGCCGTGCCAGCAGCGCCACAAGTCTCTGCAGATCTGAGCAACAGCCTCCGAGCAATCAGCTGCTCCTCAGCGAGGGATAGCAGCAAGGACAAAGAAGGGGCAGTAAAATAAGGAGAAAGATACATAATGTGCTAAAAATGAAAGTGATAGTTGTAAAAAAAAACTAGGTATAACCACATAGCTACTCAACAACAACAAACCAAGGGTCAGTCCAGTGAAACTAAACCTCAGTAAGAGCCATCATAAAATATCAATTAACATCATATGGTGTGCTTGTGTGTGCAGACGCACTTGTAAAAGGCCTGATTCTCCACCCCACACTTCCATAGGTGCTTACATGCAGCAGGGGTCGAGGTGTGAAATGTCAACACCAGTTTTTTCTGCAAAGAAAAGGGCAAACAGAGGAGAAGAAAAAGAGAAAACAGTGAGGAATGATCACTAAGGGATGAGTTAATGATGAGAAGCACTGATCAAATGTAAGGGAGCTGCACAAAATGCTGACCCACAGATCACAAGATGTAAGCTGATGTATATATTTCAGTGTATTTATTATTTATATATATATATAAAGATATATATATATAGTGATAAGCCTCATTGTTCAGCGATAAAAGGTTTTGTAACTCAAAAAGAAGAATCTTTATGGACAGGGATTTACTCCAGTAAAAGTCCAATTTTCAGCTCTTGGTGTCTGGTAACATGAGATAGCAGATCAATACTGCTGAAAGGCAAGGTTAGAGGGTGAGCAAGAGGCAGAGGAAACAGTGAAATCAATGATAAGGGAGTGAGTTACTGTAACATGGTCTCAGGCACACGTCACAGCCATAAATCTCCCCACCAGTCCACCGTATTCTGACATACCATTCAAAGCTGTGCACTTTGGCCATTGTGTTCCCTCCGCTCACTTTTTGCACAGCTCCCTCTTTGTCATGCATCACTTATTAGGTTTGCAGTTGTGATTTACACACATGTGCTGCAGTGGCCATGTGTGTGTGTGTGGATACATTTGTGCAAAAGTGCCAGGACTGCATGTTGAGATATTACTGACAATTTTTCTTTGGTCCCACTTTGGCTGACATGCAAAGCTACTTTGATAGCATGACTCCATATTTTATGATGCTGACAGAAAACCTCCTGAACTCTGGAAAGGGACATTAACATACATTGTTACACAGAGCATTTAGGAGAATTAACAGCCATTAAACATGTAAAGTACGTATTTTCAACACCACGGGAAGGTGATGTCAGCTTTCAGCTAATATTACAGGAGGTGATGTTTAAAAAGGACACAATTTACAAATGAATGAATCTCCACATCTTATTTAAAATAACGCAGAGATTTGAACGCCCTTAAACAGTTTTTTTTTTAAATGTTGACATAAATTTTGATGCCAGCAACATCTTATTGAGCATTGTGTTAGCGTCTTCATTGTCTCTCTACTTTTAAGAATGGAGAAAGCAAACTGCAACCATTTGTAAGTTAAATGTTTTTTATTTCTTGCTTAATTCATAATAATCATAATTTTATCAAGTGGCCAACAGCCGAGAAGTCACCTTTGTCACATTTACACACAGGGGACGGGTTGAACTCCAGCCTGGCCATTTTACTATCTAAAATATGTTTACTAAAGTCCATGATGTTGTGACTATTGTTTATGAAGACATAACTTGATTTTGTAGACACAGTGTCAAACTAATGTTGTAAGTAACACTGGTTTTCAGAATTGTTCAACTTTTCAAATATTGAAAAGAAAACAGTATGTTTTCGTAGATATGAAGAACTCATTTTAACCTTTCTCAATTGTCTACAGAGATTTAAACCTTTTGCATGTTTCGAATGAAATCATAAAGCTGCAATTCTACAATGAGAGACACCATTTTGAAAAGTGTGCATTTATATCATCTAAGTCATCAAATTACACATTACTTAGTATTTCATCATTTTCTCATTTTCCCATTTATTCATGTTTGTTGCTGGCATCCAGTTCTAATGTCATACAGTTATCATAATTATCCATTTTTAGTTGCAAACCATATTAAAATGAAATTTATTTATTTTTTGTTTTGGACAATTTCAAGAAAGTGCCACGTTTTCAAAGCCATGAAAGTTGCTATCAGCTCAAGGTGGGAAAGGTGAACTTGGGTGAGGGCAGAGTGGGAAGTCGTGATGTGATCAGTTACATGGTGAGACACTCAATGCTCAATTCAAATCTTGACATAGTACGGTGAATAAGTACATACACACAACTAAACATGTAAGAACACAATCAATGTAAAAATGCTACATTTTAACACGGGGTTTGAAATGAGATGTAACACATAGATAAAGTGATGGGTTGTGAATCATAACATTACATAATGCCCAGTTTAATGGTAATGTAGCTCTGGGGGTGATATCAGATCAAGTGACAACAGAGAATTTTGGAGATTGTAAAAAATAGATTGAAGTGATTAGCAGTTTTACAGAGTGGAAAAATTACACACACACGTACGCACATAAAACAATGAACACAAATTATGACAAAAACTAAAACATGATCCTCCAATCAGTAGCTGAGGTGAGAGGACTGCAGGGTAAGGTGTCATATTGAGGATTTAAAAATGCTTTGCACTGTCATTATTACTTATATTTACTCACCATTGATGACTATGTTTAAACACAAAGAGAGGAGACAGAAACAAAAAGATAAAACTGTATCTTAAGCCCTTTGTGAGTTGCCAAACATACAAACAGGCGGACAGACAAGCTAAGCAGGGATGGAAAAGCTGTAATGAAGAGAGTTATTATGAGACAGATTGAGACCAGTTGGCTGCTTGGTAGATTTAAGCGCAAAATGGATTTGTCTTGCAGAATTTCATTATTTCATGTCCACATAAATGTGAAACTCCAAAAATGGTGCTCAGTATACACCACAGCTCTGCTGGATCATACACACCAAGCACACAGATGAAGCATGTATCCCAAATGTGAGACATCTTTGAAGTAAACTCTGTTGATCAAATGCAATGTATCAATAGAAATCTAGTTTGAATTGAACATCCTCTGTGAGTCTCAATTTGGGCCACAGTTAACACGTAATGCAAGAGGATATTAGCCGTAACACACACCCACCATCCTGTTACAGTGAATCCTGCCTGTGAAGGAGATCTGAAACAGCGACACACATATAGAGTGTGTGTGATGGTGGACAGGATTGCAAACAGTACAGTTTATCTGACATAACCATTACACAGATGACGGAAGGGAAAAGGGAGAGGAAGAAGGGAGGAAGAGGGAAGAGAGAGGATGAAGTTCACAACCACAAACGGATTTCGTATGAACTGCATCTACATCAAAGTCGCTGTTTGTTTTTCTGGGTGTACAAATGCTTGATGCAGGGCTCATCAAGTCAGCATGATGATTAAAGTGCAAGGATACAATATTCATCATCATGTTGGAAGACAGTTCACATCACATTTGATCTGTCATTCTCAGCCTCTCTGAGACGCAGAGCTTACCTCTTTCTGGATCCCGATGACATAAAAGGTTTTCCCTTCAAACTTCAGCTTGCTGACATCAGCCCTGCAAAAACCACAAAAAAAATACTTTCAAGAGATCTTGATGAACTTTGAAGCAGAAGAGAAGCTATTCAAAGATGAAAAAATGGACTAAAAATAACTCAAGATCCAGAGTGCTTTATGCTTTTCCTTTTTCAAAGTTTTACAGCTTCCTAAATTTAGGAGTTCAAGCTGTAAATTCAAACAGAAAGTATATTCAGTCACATTAAGCAATAACTGTTAAAGTGTGGCTGGGTTTTCCTGAATAATCAGCTGAAGTAGGAATGGTGTAAATGGAAAGGTTTATCATGCTTTTTGCTATGTGATGTAAAAATGTGTTATTCTGCAAAACGAAAGTCACTAAAAGCAGTCTTGTGTTGGCAACATTATATGGTTTGTTTGCCATTTCTTTATATATCCCTTGAACAAAAAGAGTTTATATCTACTTAGAAGAGATCCACTATTATATTTGGGGGAAGTCTCCCAACAGAATTTCCACGTTTAAAGGATCCTATTTAAAATTCAAAGTTGTACCATTTAAGGAGATGAATCCTCTTGTTTCCCTGGAACACCACAAAGCCTGTGGCTGTGAACCCAAGAAAGGCCGTAGAGCCTGTAAAGTCCTGAAAACATGCACACACGCTTTATGAGATACACGTGGCCTAACAGCAGGGGGGCAAATGGGGCATCACTTGTCTCTATGGCAACAACGCCTATGCAAATCACATCACCATGTCAAACTTCAGCCCTTCAATTAAGCAAAATAAAGAACAAAAAGAGAAAATACAGAAATTATGGACAGTACAATATGTTGTTGTAAATCTCCTGTTTCTGTATCATCCATGAAACCTCTTTTAGGGCACTTCATTATCTTTGGATGCAGATCAACCTGTTTCCATGATTCTGTTTTCTCCAAATTATTTAGCTTAATTTCTCTGACACTTGCACCACTCTGTATATGACTGATCCTGCCATCCTGCACTAACGGCAAATTAAATGATTAAATGCATGCAATACAACGGGATTGACGGCTATTAAACGTGCTTTATGTCAGCGCTGACATGCCTGCTTATGAATATGAGAATGAGTGCTTGGGCTGAGGGTGATGAGAAAAGCTGCAAATGAGCTCTTCATTGGTTTCAGTCTGCTGCATCAGGGCCAGTGAGGAAAGATTACACCAAGAAGAACTCACGACCTGATGAACCACAACTTTAACACTGTTCAAGGTGATGTAGTTTTACGACTGCACAGAGACAGCAGATTATATTGATTTAGCCATATCAAGGACAGGTACAGCTCATTGAATAAGGTAACCGAATCATGAAAGTGATACTGGGTGTCTTTAGTTTACAGTAAAGAAAGTAGTTCAGTTCAGCTACTTGGAGCGATCTTCCCTTTTTAAAATCTAATCTCTCTGAATCCTTGCTGAAATTTGAGACATAAAGTTTATTGTGTTTAACCATTAAATTAATCTTAACCATACATAATTTTAGGTAATCAATTTATATGACAATTAAAGGATACATTAGAAAAATGGTTAATGAGTCAGGAGACAATACTTATTTATTTTTTTAGGAATTCCAGTTATTGTTTGGTGCAACAACAGCAGGTTTTGCTGGAAAAAGAGAAATATGCTCATGATGAACATTTACTGTAAAAAATTATTACTTGTTAATCATATTTGTCAGCAGAAGTTTCATGACAGGACATAATTACTTATCTGGGTAATGTGTGAAAGAAGCAGTAAGTCCTTCTCTATGCCATACACTTTTATAGTTCATATACAGAGAGAAAGAAGCTCTGAGTTGAGGGTGGAGACGTGATTTGAAATCAGCTTGGTTGCAGCGATATAATGCAAATTATGGAGGCTTTAAAGAAAAACTCTCTGTGAGAGAAACTTTCTTGTAGCTTACCTTGCATGGGTGAGGGTCAACTCCATATGTTTCAAGGCTGTGAGCCCTCTGGAGCATGTTCAACTCTGCCATTGCAGCAGACTGACCCCTGAAACAGAGGAGAGGTGATCTGAGACTACTTTTCACACAAAAAAACATTCTCACTGCATTTTCATTCATCCAATAATTTTTAATTGATTATATATATATATATATTTTAATCCTAGGAAATATTTCAACCAGTGCCAAATTAGTGGGCAAGCACAGAATGAAGTGGTTTGAAATCACCTAAGGTCTCCACAGTTTGGCATCAACCCATATGATCCTAATGCTGTCAGTTTGTTTCTGCTTTGTAGGAAGTGAAAGAGTTGGCTTCGATGTTCAATGATAATTGTATGTGTCAGTCTCTCAGGATGTGTAAATGTGCACTTTTAAATCAGCAGCTCGCCCTTTTTCTAAACAGAATATTTTAGATGCAGAGGAATTTTACTCTATTGAATGCACTGAATGCAATTTTGATTAACTTTTCTGCACATCTCTAACTGGCAGCTTTTCTTCATTAAAAGGTTCGTATATGCTGACCAGACTGCTGTAAAGATATTTCTATTTCAATGCTTTTCAATGGACTGAATGTCGCACCTCTGACAGCACTCTGAGAATTCAAAATATCAAACACCTAAAGCTAAGAAAGAGTTGTAATAAATATCCATGCTCAATCTTCTGCAGATAAATGTTTAGCTTGAATTCAATTTCAAATGCATCTGCACTCAAATACCATAATTAACAAACTGTCCATCCAGCTGCCATGAAGCGAGAGGTAAGGTACATCCTGGAATGGGCTGCCCGTCCACCAGGGGACCTCACTGTTACATTCATTTCAACAGTAAATCTAGAATCACCCACTAATATTTATGTTTGGGAGATTGGATTTTCATGATCCATACAACCACAGAGAGAACACACAAACTCTCCCCAGAAATGCACGAGCCAGCTGTGTAACCAGGATCCCTCCGGCTAACCCCTCGACAAAATAATGAAACAGACACATCTAGATTCAACTTCCTTTCCAGTGAGAGTGACAGACAGCCTTTATCGTCTGCGGAGAAGACAAGTGTCTGCATCCGGTTTGGAGAACACAGATCAGAGGAGTAATCATCCACACCTGTCACCGCCATCAAACTGATCCTGATCCTGTTCCAGACAGCAAACACCACACCACACCACACATTACAGAAAGATATGAAACTTTATTGATTACCTGAGCTCATTTTTGTGTATTTCCATAATCTTCCTCTCCAGTTTGAGGGATTGTTTGGGGAACAACTTGAAGTCTCTGATATAGTCTGACGGGTGCTCATCTGGATCATAGTTGCCGAGCTCAGCTGTAAAAAAAAAAGCTGGGGTTATTGAAAAGCAAGTAACACTCAAAGAAAGCTGTATATATTGGAAATGGGAATACACGTCTGTAATAAATAGGTCAACATTTCAGGACGTTTGCCTATTCACTGCGTCATTTGTGGAGTTTCAGTTGACACGCTTTACCTAAACCTCACGGTGAGGAGGTCTTTGTCCTCACAAAGCACGAGTGCAGAATGAAAAGGGCTGTTGTCAAGATCAGGGTTTGACACCTGAAGGATAAGACTGCCCTGAATTGGTTTCTTTAGACTAATACTACCACACCAACCTCCAAATATATTTTTCCTTCAACTTTTAGTGGAACATATTCATGTCATCAGCATTTCAGGATATTGTTCAGGTCAAAAGGCTTGAAGGTGAATGATTTCCTATTAAAATTTGGAGTAGAACATACTCAGAGGGGTAAAAGATAACCTGATTGAACCCTGCTTTTTTCTTACTTGGTCCAGTGCCAGCCTGTGTCTGACACTAATTTGTCTTTTAAATCCATGCTTAATTACCAAAGATAATAAAGGTCAAATAAAAAACCTGCGTGAAGTTTAATTAAACAATAATCCTCAAAGTATTCCCCGGCTCTCTAATCAACACCCTGACAAAGTGGGGCAGGGACCTCTCCTAGTTAATCAGAACAGCCAGCGATACTCTGCAGACACTCTGGGTTGAGATAACTCAGCCAGCACTGTCTGTACTCAGGGGATACAAGCTAATAAGAGGATGTAAGCACAGTTCAGAGGTTTATTCATCAGCCAGAAGGATTAATTTATATGATACCGCTCTCCTAATTCTTTTCTTGATCCAAGTGGCTCTAGAATGTGATATGACATTTATCTGTTACCGTTAACAGAGTTCAGGAACATGTCTTTTCAAACTTTTTCTCAGATTTTTACATATAAAAGACGTAAACAAAAAAGGGCTGACTTCTCTGATGGTCAGATAATGTATAGTGCAGATGTTCTACAGGAAGTGGTTAAAACAAGCCGTTTCAAACCCATGCCATGGGTACACGCATATCACAGAATCAAAGAGAAAAAGTTGCCCATTGGTAGATGGTTTTAAATAGTACAGGAAAAAAAACGCAGTACGAACAAAACAGATTTGACTTGTCACATTTCCGTTGACACCATTCTGTTGATCATATTTTTGTAAAATCTTATAAACTGGAAATGTGTCTGTCTTTGTATAAAAGTTAAATGGCATTAATAAATTATCTCAATCTGTCTCAAATAAAAAAAAGGAAAACAGGTCTCACCCTGTATAATACAGGCTCCCAGATATGCAGCCTCAGCAAAAGGACAGAGAAGACGGCCGTGGTAGATGTCTCTTTTCAGCTGGAGGTACAGCAGATACCTGGATGAAAACACACACCACTGATTTATACTGGTTTTTTTACTTTTGCTGTTCAAATTGAAGGCTTAGTTATTGTGCAGATATGTTTCTAATGACAGTAAAACATCATTACGAATATTCTTACAGCAGCTAAGTTTGCATTTAGTATTTGTTTGAGAAATGTTTGCTCAATAACTGTGCTGATAAAAATGTAATGATGATCTGCCTGTGCTGGTATGGAAATGACTGAAACAAGGGCACTGCTATGGCGACGGTATACAGCATTCAACAGAGAGCGGTACTGCAGTTACTATGGAAACAGCTTTAGTGCTTGGTGCATGCATCAGACAATTGTCTGGAATAACCATGGAGACAGAACATGACAGTGATGCTGAAACTTGGAACTAGCGTTGCTATGGGCACAGATGAGTTTCCAGATGAAACACTATCAGCATCTCACTCCACTGAGTCAACTGCCTCATTCAGCTTGTTTGAGCAGGAGCGAAAGGAGGAGCAGAAGGAAAGCATGAAAGATTGAATGAGGTGAAAAGCCTGCTGTGGGTGAATAGTTCTTTTTTTGTGGTCAGAATGCAGATGTATGGAAGTTGTTAAAATACCCCAAAACAAAACTTTCTATAAATTAGACTCTCTGTTGTGTTTGATGTTATTTCTCTTTGTTTACAGTTTTTGTTGCATATATAATTGAATCCTTTTCGTTTTATTCTGATTTCCTTCCCTGAGCTAATGCCTTGATCTCATCACTATGCAATACAGACTAACATATTTAATTCAGTTTATTTACTTTTGAGTGAGGGGTAAAATAATTTGAAAAAAAAATGAAAAAGATATTTAAACAGTGTTCTTCCCCCTACATATTTTCATGTAACTTTTTTCTTTTCTTCTCATTTTGCACATCTTATGTGGCCTTGAATCCTTCTCCTTTTTATATGTCATCCTCGAAAAGCTTCCAAACAATTCATTTGATTCAATAAAGGCTGAAATGTTTCAGTGCTTTCTGTGCTTTCATTAAGAGCCAGATAGTTTTACACTGTAGTTCTGTGAAATAAGACATGACTCCCCCCAGCTTACTTTCCATCTCACGTCAAGAAATTCTCATACAATCTGAGTCGACACCAGCGCTGGCACTGCTAGTTACAAGATGAATCTAACATGAGTTCCATCCACAAAACTGATATTTTCTAACCCAGTTTAAGGGGGGAAAATTAAAAGGAGATTTGACAGCTTCAACTAACAACCGGCATACTGGAGCAAATGAAACCCAAACCAATTTGATTATATGTTTTTGAAACAAAAAAAAACATTCCTCTTTTTACAACACTTCATCACCAACTGAAGCTCCTTGTGAATGCACTGAACTTGTTCAATTTCCTCTCCAAACTCATTGGACTACTTATTGCGGGGCTGATGTGACACACACCACTAAACAGAAATGGAATCAAGCCTGCATGAAGAATACTCCTGCTGGAGCTGCTGCATTTAACAGCACAGGATGAAGAACACCGAACACCGAACTCTGCGAGGTTGTGGGACGTATACGGAAATACCCCAGAGTGCTGAAATCTGATGATTACTGGGAAATTCCGTGAAAGAGGGAGGGAGGAGATAAACACTGACACTATAAGACCTGACAGCTCGTATGGGACTGAGAACATGAAATAGTGTTCCTGCTGACTGAGCGTCTCTAATGATGATGATGATGATATGTTAATGTGTGATTTTCAATACTTGTCCCTGCCTGATTCTAAAATTTCACAGTGCACTTAACTAGAAAAAAAATGTAGGGCCATTTAGTGCTAAGGTTGGCGGATGAAGTGGGGTGACTGATCAATTGGTCAGACTCAAAATTTCCACTTTTAACCATGATTGATCATTAAAAAAGTATCATGTGAAAGACATTTATTTTTCTGTTTTCTTTTATTCAATTGTCAATGCATCCAATTGTTTCTTAATCATTGGTATTTCTATATTCAGTGGGAAAAGATAATAGTTTCTGAGGCATTTTATTGAAAAATTATAAAACTGCAAAAACTGTTTTGCTGGTGTCGTGGAGAATTTTCTTTTGTTTCTTTGTTAAAGCTACTGTTGTTGATTGCCTTAGGGAGAGTTGTCTCACACGTCTGAAGACTGGTTTTAGCACCACTAAGAAATGCAACAATTTCCTTAATCTCATCAAGAATGAATCTCCCATTCCTGTTTATCATTGAAATTGTACTACTTGCCCTTTGTGAAACCCTCACACCTGAGAAGGTTTTCCTTTTGACCAATCCACATGGGGGCCCTTTCCTGTCTCCTGAGAATATGCATATCACTGTCCCTTTGGAGATTCTCCATGGGACTTCCTGAGGACTGAATGTAAATTAGAATCTCTTTGTTTGTTGCTGATAAGAAACACAGTGAAGTTATAAAAGGGGACGTGCCTTCTGTGCAGGCGCGCATTCACTTAGGTTTCCCCTGTGACTGCGTCTTCGAACGCTCTGGCCTTCGAATAAATCTCTTTATTGGACAAGATCGATCTTCTCTAATTATTAGGAAACTTTGCCTCACTCTTTTAAAGAACTTTTTCCATAACACTGGCAAGTGCTGACAATAAACCCTTTCACGTGATCAGCTCATGTAAAAACAATAGTTAAATTGTATTTTTGTTCATTTCTTTTTCAGCTGTTCATATTTATATTAACTAATGCCATATGCACTAATTCAGTTTCATCTACTTATGCTCTGATGCTGTTGCCCTGAAATGAAAACCAACAGAAGTGCGACCAAAGGAAACTCAAAGACAAAAAATGCTTTGTTTCTTATTTGACATTCTTCCATCAGGGGAAAATATTCCCTGTCTGAGTTGGATTTACCTGGTGAGCTCCTCCTTGATTTTCATTGGCTCGTGGGGATAAAACTTGACCCGGAAACACATGGTGTATGGATGCTGAGCTGCTGAAGACAAGAGGAAAACAGTAGAGAAATTAAGAGGGGGGCGGTATGAAAGGGAAAGGAGAGGGGAAAAATGTGACTAATTTAAGACAAAAAGATAGAGAAATGAAAGAAATTAGGGCATGATAGAAAAGACACGGGAATGGGGAGCAAGGTGGACAGATAAATGAGTGACTGCAAAATAAAGACGGACAGTGGATTGTATAAAACTTAAGATACAAAAGAGCTGAGAATAAAAAGAATAACAGTATGCCTCAGATACTGATTAGTCATTTGATAATTACAGTAATTACTCATGCACAGGCCTGCAGGCACATGCTCCACTTGAACTGTGGTCTGTTTCTTTTCCTTTGATCTGTGTCTTAAAGCATTTTATTTATGTGTTTGTGTGTGAGTGTGACTGTGACAAGGAGGATTTTAGCTACGAATGGTTTAAAAATATGCACACTACCATACATACTCAGGCTTACATAAGTGTTCATACGCAAACACAGACAATAACAGGTTACAGGGTTTAGATCAAACAGCAGCAGTGGCTTAAACTCCCTCATGAGATCTTAAAGTTGTAATCCCTCCAAATGCATGCCAAAATTCAGTTTTCACCAAGGTGGAACAGCTTAAACCTTGTTTCTTGTTATATGTTCAGTTTGACATTTGCCTTTATTGATGTTTGAATTGTGTTTCGTGGTGTTTAAAGACTTCATTTGATGAATACGTTTAATTTCACAGCCCAGCTAACCTTAAATGACTCCTGAATTACTAATTCAACAAATTTATGTATATTCCCACCAACACAATTTTTCCTGAAAAGAATTAAACTCACATTGCTTTGATCCCAGATTTGAACATACATTTGATTGACAATAAATCAATATGTCCCAGTAACTGTTGTTTTTGAGATACTGAAGGAATAAAGAAAAATGGTAATATATCTAAAAACTATTTTAGTTTTTGGAAAGGAGGGTATGTTTGTGTCAGTGGTATCTGATGTGAATCCACGTCAAGATAAAATGTTAGTCTTTAATGCATGTAAATGTGCATGATCATTCAGATTGCAATTTTACTGACCAAAATTGTCTGATATATATTTTTAAGTAAATATCTGGAAATAAGAAAGTGATCATTCCCAAACGATTTCCCTCAGCTCTCTGCCTTTAATGGCAGGATCCTCTGTGGTATTATCTAGCCCTGAAAAACAGCCCACATCTACATAATACATGCGGAGCAATATGAAAGACGCAATCCTCCCACCAGTCCCCAAAGAACTTGAGCTGCTTATTTGCTCAGGCATAAGGAACATTGACGCAGTTTTTGAAACATTCTAGAAAAAGTGAGTCGGCGCAATAGTGTCCAGACAAACAGTCTGATGTTTGCCAATGCCCATCAGCTACCATGCACAAAGGCAGCATAATACTCAAGCCACATAAATACGCTTAAACTTAATTTGAGAGGAAATCCGGCCACAGGGAGAAGTGATGTGTCGGTCCAACTCAGATCTATTCAACACTCCTCCTCCAGGCCCTGGTTTCATCTTTTTTCCCTGTTTCACTCTGTCAGCTTCTTTCAAATCAAACTATCTTCAATCTCCTTTTCCTGCCCTTTTCTTTTCTTCTCACTAATCTGACTTCTCTCTTTAGCTACATTATCCATTACTGTCACATTATGGGTCTGAATTAGCCCCCTGAAAATGGTCCTTTCTCCTTTTTTTTCTGGATACCTTCATCTTTCATTCCAGTTTTTACTGCTTTCCTCTGCCTCCCTCTGCTCTCTTCTCATAGAGGCCAAATGCACTGCTAATAGCTCTTTTATTAATTTATAACAGGGCAGTCACTAAAAAGGTGAGTGAACATCAGATTGGAAGAGGAAGGCGGAGACTACAATGAAAAATAAAGAGACTGAACAAAAATGAAGAGATGTGGGAGAACACAGAAAAAAGGCTGACATCATCATTTTTACAGCCTGGTTTAGCTGTTTGAAAAAAAACCTTGTAAAATTGGTTTTAATATTCTCGGGGGGAAAAAGGCCAGGTTTTTGAGCCGCTTTTCCTTCAGTATCTCAAAAAAAGAATACAAAACAATACCCTGACTCCCAAAAAAATGTAGTGTTCCTTATTGGTGCCAAAAAGGGAAAATTATGTGGCATTACTCATTCCTAAAAGCTGTAGCTGTTGGATAACATTTTGATTGTAACAGCCCACCTAAATTGTAAATAAAAAAACATCTAAACCGAGGCACAGCAAGGCAAATAAAAAGGATTTGAGCTGAGCAGGCACTAATGGAAAACCCCAATGTTTGTAGTCGCTGAGCTTGTATGCCTTGTCTTTGGATTTCACTTGCTGCGTGAGTTCATATCCACCGTGGGCCATTACTGGGCTTCTGAGAAAGCACCCTCTTGTCACTTTGTCTGTATTCATTGTGTCTGTGTTTGTCCCCCCTGGGGCATTTCTCAGGAGAGGTGTGACATTGTCTGGTTTTGTGACCAGGCCTAGCTTTCAGAGTTGCTGAAAAGGACTTAAAATCGATGTTCCAAATGTATTTGGTACATATTACACATCCCTTGGGAGCTTTTTTTATACATACAGCTTTCATGTTTGTGTGCACATTCACTATAACAATGTTGTATGAATGATGCTGTGGTGGTGTTAGAGTCCCTGTGGTGTTGTCTGCTTTTTCCAGAGCTTGACCCTTTCGTACAAAACAACTCTTGTGAGGCAAACTAAAAGTACACACTGGTACACATATACTGTATACATGGGTGAATATTTATGCACAACACACACAAACAATCACTGATGCAGTAAAATGAGCAGAAGGGACACTTACCCTTCATCTGCCTCACTACAGGCTTATTGGGCTCCAGCCAATGCTAAAACAGAGATAAAAAAGAGAATGAGCAGAACCCAAAACAAACCACAAATGGTACCGTAATAAAAAATAAAGTAGTTGATTTTGATAAAGTCATTTGAACTGATGTCTGGTCTTACTTGATGTGACATTGGAAAAAATATTTTCTGAAGAGATCAACTTAGTATTTTAGTATTTGTATTTTTGTATGTGCTGGATAATGTAGACATGAAACATTTGATGAAGGATGCGGCAGAGCGGCAGCATTAAAGTAGTTCAGGATTATGGAGAAGAGAATCGTCCTTCATGTCAAATGAATCAGTCTAGCTAAGGTAGTATTTCTTTGTGAGAATAAGAGATTAAGGAAGCATTTTGCCCCCTGCCTTTGTTACAAATGACTGAGTCACCTCCTGCTCTATCACAACACATATCGACTACATGTTGACAGGCAGAACGTGTCCCTCTTTTACTACTTTGATGGACGTTTGGAAAATCTAAATTGTCTTGTCGTCCTGAATAGAAGCTACATCCCACTGAAAGATTGATCACACTGAATTTTGTGCTACATTTAAACTTCAATCGAGCTGGAATGAAGCATCTGGTCTTCTCGGTGTGTGGGCTGTTTGAAATATGGAGACTGGTCTTGTTATCATTTGTCACTTGAGTTTGAAATGTAATCAACTGTCTGCTTCCTGACTAAAAGGAGCTCTCTCTGTGGTGCTCAGTCTGACCAACTGCTCCTTCTTAGTCAGTGGGATTCAGTGTTTATTTTTGTTCCTCTGATTACATTCAGATTTGTTTAGCACTGTCCAAAGTGACCATCCACACAAAGGTCCTCTGCACCTTCAAAGAGAATTAACGGTAACCTTAATCTGTTTCAAGATAGCCTTGTTCCCTACATCTCTTTTTTGAGCAGTGTTATCAGAGTTTGTGTTTTTGAACCAACAGCAAAATAAAGGTTTTATAAGATCTTTTGAAAATACTTGTCAGGTGATTTGATGACCCATCAATGGTATTTTCAGTTTTGTGAAGCCCTAATTCTTGCTCGAATTGTAATAAAGACACACATGGTCTTATATACCTAGTGCAAAGAAGAATCTCTGATGGTTTTCTGTCTTTTATTATCCAGCTTTATAGGAAACAGTTTTAGCATAAATTTAGTTTGTATCTATGATTATCAGTATAAAAACCTCAAACTGTGAAATGGAGACTTTGGTGTAGCCTTTGAGTGTGTGTCTGCGTGTTTGTCATGATTACCCTTTGTTTCTCAGGATCAACATATCGGATGCCAAAGTAGTCTCTCTCCAACAGATTGTAGTGATTACACACATGGTCCAAAAGGAACTGGCCTTTCGTGTCTCTCTGTAAACCAACAAAACACATTAGTTGAGTAAGTTGACTCATGATACATCAACAATTATTAAGTTCGAAGATCGAAGCTTTGATACAACCCGTAACCAACACATCGAATCCAGCCTCATACTAATAGAGGGTGATCCAGTAATGGGTTATATTCATGTGATCCACACACCATTACATTAGGTTATGCATTCTTTACTAAAAGAACTACACTTGCTCTTCTTCTTGCCTCTTGATGACATAGCTAGTGCAGTCATATAGTTGACTCAGCCTCCGATAATGTCAGTAAATATCAACACTCCTAAACACAGCGCAGACAGAAAGCAATCAATAATCACTCTGCAGTCATCACTTCTTCCGCATTCAATATCTACTCATCACGTAGAAATGCTTTTTCACATAGCCGTTGTAAGTTTTGTGCACGCATTCACACACACAAACTCGTATAATGGAAGAATATTTATGGGAGTTGTTTAACTGATCTAACCATGCACATTTGCGTATGCGTCCATCTTATTATCAGATAACTACAACAGCCATTTTTAACTTCAGTCTATTGACCGTGGGGGTCATTATTCAGCAGAAAGACATTTTATCGCATCACAGTTTGCTTCTCCTTTTTTGCTCTATAACAGCTCTACAAAGCGCTGCTGGATGTGGATTCTGTGTTCAGTTAGAAAGGACTGACCGACCCACTTGATAAACATGAGTTTGTCCATGTTGCTTATGCATATATCATCTGATTCATACATACATATAGAGTCGCAGATGTCTCTTTGGCGGCACAATGTCGTCAAAAAACCCCTGATGGAATGGCAATCCTTTGCCTAATGGCAGCTGGGATAGGCTTTGGCCTTAGATGTCATTAAAAGATGTAAAAATGCTTGCCAACTGAAATATCATACATACCATAAAAATGGAAGATGCTTCCTTTGCAAAGTACCGCCTGGTCTCATGACAGACTGTAAAACAGCTGTCTTAGTCCAACAAGCGCACAGTGCAGTTTCACTATAAAAGCTGAATGACTGTAACATTATTGTTTTCACTGCACTGTTTCTGACACAGATGCAGCATTGTACATCACCACATTTTCATACTATTCATCTTATTCACTTATTATAAGTAAGGACAGAGGAGGGTGATCTAGAGACCTTCATTTCAGCAACATTTGCGCTCCTAGAAAGAAACTTATCTGCTCTGATGCACGATTTTGATGCACAAAGAGGAATGTTGTTTATATTAAGTATAGTATATTTAAAGGATCAGCTAACTGAGCTAATTGAGGGAAGTCTCCGCACCCCAAATGTTGAATTGTGTCAATGAGTTTTTGCACTCATTGTCCACAGGGGAGTTCATCTGTGTTTAGGACAGGCAAGTTAAGGACAACCAAACAAGCAACCTATATCTCCAGAGATTTCAACTTCATCTATTATGTTTCAGATTCAATGAGTTTGTTTTATTGTCTATATCGTATAGCCTAATAGTGTAGTAATACTACCATACTGTAGCATCTGTAGTTTATAGTTTATAATTGAATTGAATTCATTATAGGTGCAACTCCTTGTTTTGCAACTGGGCTCTAACACTGTACCAACTGCTGTCCATATTCATTAAGTCTTATGGCATAACAGTTTTCTGACCAAAACATTACACACTTCTGTTCCAAAAGATACTTGATGTTTTAAGCCAACTCTTCTCTGTCTTCCAATGTACTTTGAGTTGAATATTATTAAGAGATATTTGATTAAACTATAAAAGCAAACACTGTTTTCTTTCTTGCTACTTCAGCAGCACTGCGTTCTGTTCTTTGTCAGCAAACAGGCCAATGACATTAGTGGGAGTCATTAGCTTTGCATCCTGTCTCTAAATGCAGACGTTTACTTCTAAAGTGCATCACCTCCAAAGTGACTGACATCAGCTGACTTTGTTGAATGGTTGTTATTGAAGCCTGTCCGTCAGGCTGAGGTCCAGAGTGCTCAAGAGCAAGAAAGTACAAGATTTAAAAGAGCATTTCCAGAAATGTATTACTATAAAAGATTGATATCTACTTTAATTCAGCATTAAGTCAGTTAAACCTTTTTTAATGATTTCCGCTGTAATTATATGTTTTAACCCAACTTCTTCTGGTGATATTTAGGTTGCTGCTTATAAATGTGAAATTCAAGTAACCATTTTCCACCAGATTGCTTATTAAACTACCAGCAGAACCTTTTTTAGCTGCCCTACTAAAAAACAGAATTTACTAACAATAGACCTATACTACACTTAACTGACCCTGCAGAGGCATAAAGTTATAGTCAGATTATAAAACAAATGAAAACCTGCATCAGGGCTTTTATCTGCCACGGATGACTGGACAGCCTGTACAGTGTGCAGCCCTCTGAGCAGATGATCGGGAGAGAGACACAGATGTAGCCGACAGAAGGTTTGTGTTATGTTTGCTGTTTTCCGTAAAAAGATCTGAAATTTCTGTGCCAGAAAGACAGAAAAATCTCTAATTATTTGTTTTCTTTTCAAAGCCTCATTAGAGAAGTCTTCTACATCCATTATGCACGACAGTGGTTATTTACAGCACCCACAATTACCACCGTGTAGGGCAATCTTTGTGAAAGTCTCTTTTTTGTTTTATGGTAAAATTATTTTGGCCTTTTCTGTTTCAACCTCAATTAGGGACCACTGCATTGTTTGGAAATGTGCAAGGTGAACACATTTTTATCACACCTTCTTACTTTATGAAGGCATATACAGGAGGAAGGGGAGTAAAGAGTATCCTTCTACAAATTTGAGACTTTAGCAACCCCCTAAATGCAATTTAGTGAAAGCGGGATTCCAGATTTGTGTTTTCGTTTATGACTTTTTGCAGTATGTGTTCCTACAGAAACATTGGAAAAATTATTTCAAATCAGTTTTATATGCAGACATTTGCACAAGACAGAAATATAAGATAAACAGAAAATAAACAGATTTTTTGTTAACATTGTTTTACCTTCTGAGATATTAACGGGTACTTTTTGTGCAACTGAAGTACTGAATAGCTGGTCAATTCATTGTAATTTGATCATTTGTCATTTTGCTATAAAAAAGTAATTTATGTAACTTTAATTTTTGCATTAAATCACCATGACCGATACCTCATTTAATCATGATTAGGTTCATAGATGGTTAATGTATAAAATGTTGCCGTTAATAATGAAGTAATTCATATTCAGTCATATTCTTGAAACCTTTTTGAAATAACCTCCTGAACGTTGGTTTGAAAGAGTGCATGTCCCCTGTGATCTTGGTTATATCACAGCCGAGAGAATCAGCTGTCGGTGATCTCGTAGACAGCATGTCCCCATTGGCTGATTCAGATTGATTCCTATATCTGAGGGACATAACAAAATAAATTTAGTGCGTGTCAGTCAGGATGCAGCTGTGATAGTCTGTGTCGTCTAATTGTGTGTATGTTTTTACCCCTTTTATTCTTGGTGTCCAAAATCTGGAGGCTGACTGTCCTTGACTGAAGTTGTTTGAGTGTTAAAACTTTGTTTTGGTCTGACAAGGTGAGGGTAAGTCGTTCAGTTTTTAGGCTTATGGTAGTTGTATAGAATACACATCAATGGTCAGAAATGCAACACATGTACGGGTTTGTATAAGTCCAATAAATAGCCAGCTATCTGTCTGTGAATGCTGCAAATCTCCAGTATTTGTGTGTTGGTGTATCAGTCTCTATCTCTTTGGGATTTTCAGATGATCCACGACAAGAGTGTTACTAAGCCGTTAAATCTGAGATCACACAGATATAGATACATGGAGAAAAAAATAGTAGAAACTGAGTGTGAAAAGAGCTACCCTGAGAGCTGTTTGTGCCCAGACCATCAAAGGACACCTTTCCTTTGGCTCTCAGGGCAAATGCTGATGGGAGGAAGAGAGATGGACTGACGCCAAGCAAGAACAAGACCAGACAGAGAGTAGAAAAGGGCCAAGCATGCTGAGAGTATGGACGAGACAACACTCTAAGAGAAAAAAAGAGTGGATAAATGAGAGAATAGAAACTGACTGGGAAAGGAAAAGGGAGGAACAGTAAAGTCTTGTCCAACAAGGTCCGAATGCATATTTTATATTTCCAAAGGCTGAACATTAAAAATTAACCCTGTCATCATGTCTCTACATGATCTCACCTAATGACAGCAAAGTGCTCTTCTCTCAGCCTCGCTTGAACACACAGATGCATACACACTTTAAATAGAGCCACAGCAAGAAGGTTTTTCAGTTTATCACAGACAAAGTGCACTTTGACATGTGTGCCTGAGCATGTGTATACCCACTTTCTACCATTTTTCTCTATAGCATCCTTACAGCTGACCTAATGCAAGTGCTGGCCAAGCAATAAATCCAAAAAAGAAAGTAGAAAACACTGCATATAAAAGGACACATGCATCTATGGTGAATTTACACACAAAAAAGAAATCTGCTGAACTCAGGCGAATCTAGGCATTTGAAATACATTGCTTTTTGGCTTCAAATGATGTGCCCACATCCAGTTTGCACCTGTAATGCAATATTTTCATGTAAGCCCCAGAATGAAAGAGGAGATCAATCAAACACTGAGACTGCACAATACTGGAGGCATCACACCATAGCAGGGCCTGAGATCAGACCACTACGCCTCTCCTATAAAAGGATAGGGCTTTGTGTGCCTTTGTGTGCAGCCTTTCTCGTGTGAAGACGTTACCAGGTAAAGACGTGCGTGTCTACCAAAGCTTGTCCACCAAATAGGGCCGCATAACAGGGCCTACCTTTCTCTCTTTGCAATGTTTCGTCACCCCATCTTTGTCATCTCTGGCACCCACAAGCGGTTCTACTTTCATAAACGGAAACGAAACCTCAAAAATCTTTGCTGGGTAAATCACACACCAGCATCCAAAACCAGTCACTTTTTTGTAGGCCTATAGAACTGCCAGTCTGCAGTGAACAAAGCAGATTTCAGACGACAGCACCTGTTTATAAATGTATGTGGT